CAGGTCCTGGCCTTGGCTGAGCCCCTGGCATTGAATCTGTGTCTCAGCTCCCTTTGCTCCTCTGGCCTTGGCTGAGCCCCTGGCATTGAGTCTGTGTCTCAGCTTCCTTTGCTTCTCTGAGCTGGGAGGAGGGGGACCGTGCCAGATTCCTAGAATTGTGTTGAGGATGAAATAGCATGCATACTGTCTTATCACCTGATGCAGAGTAAATGACCCAGAGTCAGCTTTTTTATCAGCCTGCAAAGTGTTCCCTGCTGCTGTTTTCTGGCCACAGTATGTTTTTATCATCCAGCTCAGGGGAGTTAATTACCACACATACTAGGTTTTTAACTGGATTCCGTAATAGTGCCAAGGAGAGAGAGATTTTAAATTCCCATGTCCAGATAAAAAGCACAATTTTTATGGAGTTAATCTAGCTGAAAGTCTTCTACAGGCTTATTTATTAAACCTTTTGAAGAGAGTGGGGTTCTTATGAGAGGAGGCCTAGACACTCGGACAGGGTGAGTGTGGAAATTACTGGAGTAAGGAGGGTGGATATTGAGGTGAGGAGGAGGGAGGGCCAGTTCCATTTGCGGAGTCTAAATGGGCTGGAGAGAGGTCTCAAACTCTCAGGAGAACAAAGGCAGGTGAGCGTAAGGGCCACGAAGCTGGGAATGCTTTAGGTGCTTTCCATTCTGTTGGTTACAATGAGCATGGACATTTTGTATTGAAATGTATTTTAATTTTTATTCCCTTTCTAAGCTAGTTTCTGGGTGACAGGTATCTCCATAGCTCACTGGAATGAGCTGAGGTCTGGTGTAGCAGCCTGGCCTTTGCCATCAGGCCTGGGGCTGAGGGGCGCAGGGAGCACAGGCAAGTCCTCAGCTGGCTCAGGCCAGAACAGAGGAACAGGGATCCTATCACACCCCTGACCCAAGTACAAAAGTCAAGGAGGCCAAAAGGGGCGGCGGGGGGGCAGGGGGAGGGTACGAATTCACATTTATTTGGCTCTTACCTGATACCATACCACCCTAGACTTACTCAATCCTTACAGCAATCCTGAGAAGTGGTTATGAGGCTTTACAGCTAAGCAGAGAGGCTCAGAGACGTTGAGTAACTTGCCTAGGGTCACCACTAGGAAGGTGGCAGGTCTGGGATTTTGAGTCCAGTTCTGTGTAATGCCAAGGTCCCTTGGTCTTCCTTGTCTACTCTGCTTTCCAATCTCATAGCGTTTTCAGGCTGTACTGGAGACAAGGATAGGGTGAGTGAGCCTCCTTTTATTATTCAAATTGAACTCTCTAGAACTGAGGAAGATCATTTAATTTTCATTTCCTATTGCGGGGGGGGGGGGAGCATTGACATGAGCCTTCCTTTTATTGAACTTTCTTACAGATTTCAGCCTCTGCCCATGGTTGTATATTCTAACCCTGTTGCCGCCTCTTTGCCCGTGTTGCTCTCCATGGCCTTTTGGACTGCAGTTAGATCTATTTCATACTATGTTTGCTAAACTATGTGGACTTGGTCTGTCTCCAGGGTCTTGAAAATAGGTGGGATGACTGTTCTGTGTTACAGATGGGAAAGCAGAATAGAACATCGAGCTCACTGCGACTCTGGGAAGTAGGAATTGGTACAGGAGGCAGCTGAGCTAGACAGTGGTGGAGGTGGCTAGAAGTGGGATTCCAGCCTAGGTAGCCCAAGCCCATAACCTCCCCTCACTTCTGTACTACAGGGCCTGGGCCTTAGCGTCAGAGAGATCTAGATTCTGTTCTTCAGTCTCTTCACTAGTGAAATGAGGATTCACTACCCTCCCTCCCACAGGGCTGCTGTGCAGTTATGTGACTACAAGTCTTAGAGCCATGCCCGATACACTTAAATGTGCCACACAGTGCGGTAGGTGCTGCCAGCACTGTCCTTAGGACCTAGGTATCCTGGGGTCTGCCTGGGCTTTACAGCCAGACAGACCTGGCTTCTACTGCCACTTCTGCACTTACACAAGGCTTTGTGACTGCCAACGGTCATTTCACTGAGTTGCACTTCTTCACCTGTATGGTGGGGATAAGCCATGCTTATGTCACAGGTTGCTGTGACTCTCCAGGGAGATACTACATGTGTTGCACACATAAGCACTTTCTAATCAAGTTTGACTGTCATTATTCATACTATTTCCCCCAGGTGCCCTGGAAGTTAGAGTGACTTTAGGTCAAGACTTAACTGCACACTGGCTCCTGGAGAATAGAAACACCAAGAAGCCTTGTATTGGTCAGGACCCCAGGTTTGGGAAGGGCCTGCTAAGCTGTTGTCTCTCCATGCTTTCCTTCCACAGAGCACCCAGGATGGGCACCCCAGCCTCTGTGGTGAGTGAGCCGCCCCCTTGGCAGGCCCCGGCTGAGGCCCGGAGCCGCAAGCAGGCCTCGGCCAACATCTTCCAGGACGCCGAGCTGCTGCAGATCCAGGGCCTGTTTCAGCGCAGTGGGGACCAGCTGGCCGAGGAGCGGGCACAGATCATCTGGGAGTGTGCAGGAGACCACCGTGTGGCAGAGGCTTTGAGGAGGCTGCGCAGGAAGAGGCCCCCCCGGCCGCAAGCCCTGGGCCACTCACTGCACCACTGCAGCCGGCTCAGGTGGGTTCCTGGAACTGGAGGGCTGAGGGAAGGTGAGCACGAAGGGTGCCCCTGCCCCCATTTCCCGGCGCGGGGACCTGGCGCCACTGACTTGGCCTCACTGTGAAGTACCTGCCACGAGGGTGGTCAGGTCTAGGCAGTGCTAGGATTGCTGTTACTACTGGAGTCATACTGGACCCTGTGAACTTCCATGGGAAGGAGTGCTGGGTCCTAATTTTGCAGTGATTCTCAGCCAGGTGGGAGGGACTGTTGTTTGGGAAAATTTGTTTCCCTATCATAGAACAGGTAAGAATCACAAGTAAGCCTGGTTAAAACCTCGCCTGTGGGATTATAGAGACTATAGCGTAGGAAGGTTCGGTAGAGGTATTGAGGTTTGGAAATTGTTGAGGAACTTGAAACTTCCCCTCGTCATCCCCCTGTGCCTAGGTCACTGACAGCCTGGGAACAGTGAGCCCCACGAGCTCAGGCTGAACCACATGGCCTAGCCAATCACTGTGTGTTCTGCTCTGGGCTCTGTTCTTCCCGCTGCCTTCTCGGGGCCCCCAGTCAGGGCATTAGACCTGAACAGGTCTCCCGAGTCATCAGTTCCAGGGGAAGCAAATCAGGCCCTTGCTCAGATTAACTCCAGTTGACTTGCAGTCCCTGTTTAAAGCACCTTGCTAAGGAGGGTACTTGGTTCCTCGAGTCTCGTGTCACAGCAGACTAAGGATGACTGCCATGAGGACAGCATGAGGAAGCTGGAGAAATGCAGAGTATCACACACCCTGATCTAGTCCAGCTCTCTTTACAGAGAAGAAATCTGAAAGCTTTGCCTCGTCTTTAGCTCTCAGAGGGCAGACGAGACCCGAGCCCGGGTCCCGTTTTACCCCGACCAGTGTGTTTTAATAGTTCATCATGACCACAATCTCTTTAGCCCCCATTCTGCTCTTCCTATTGATGAGGGCCTGCCACACACTTGTTCTCTGCAGAATGCCCGAGCCCTGCACTCCACTGGCCGACCCACAGAGTGGTGCCACGGAGACGGCTTCTGGCGATCAGTATCTGAACTCCAGGAGGACAACTGCCAGGATCCGCCGCAACTGGAAGAAGCCAGGCCCCACAAGCTACCTCCATCAGATCAGACACTGATCCAGGGAAGGGGCTGGGAACGGCAGTATCTTCCCCAGGAACCAGAGGGACTTTTGCCAAAGGGCCCAGGAGCTGAAGAAGGAAGAGAGACCTGAGGCAAGACAGCCCCGCAGGGGTAAATGAAAGACCACCGCCCCTGGCCTGCTCCATTCAGAACAGGACTGGAAACGTCCCGAGCTCTAGGTTATGTGGGACCCATTCCTCACCAGAACGTGGAGAAACAGCGCCTCAGCTCTTCCCATCTAACAGTACACCTGGGCTGCGTGATATTCCCCCGAGAGTCAAGTGATGGGCACTCCGATGGAGCATCTCGCCGCTCCTGCTCCTAACCCTCCTGCTGCTCCTGTAACCCGTGGCCCGGCGGCCTGCCCACACCCCTGCCCCTGTCAGGCTAGCACAAGGAAACTGTGGTTTAAGTGGCAAAATAAAAACATTCACATGAACAACAGTGTGTCTGTCACAGAAAGGGAGGGTCCCCAGATGGCCACTCTGGAGCCAGGGGATGAAAGGTTGCACTTACTCCAGGAAGGAGAAAATAGGACAGCCCCCCGTCCCTGGGAGCCCCCTTCCCTGGGAGCCCCCCTTCCCTGGGAGCCCCCTTCCCTGGGAGCCCCCCGTCCCTGGGAGCCCCCCGTCCCCTAGTGCCCAAGGCTCCTTTTCCAGAGGTTGTCCGATCAGGAGATGGAAGCATCTCTTCAGGGCAGTCCTGATCCACGGGAGAGAGAGGGCTCCTGGACTCTGGCCAGTTCTAGAAGGGGAAAGACTCTTCCCGTCGGCCTTGCATAGTGAGCAGTGAGCCTGCAGTCAACGTCCTGGCTGCCAGCCCTGCAGCTGGTTTCTTCATCCCCGTGGGCCAACCATCCTGAGGTGGGTCCACAGCTGGACCAATCATTCTTAAGCCTCTGGCATTACCTGAGGTTTCCTAGCCTAAAAACCTTTAAGGTGGTGTTATATGCAACTGATTAATCACTGAACTCTACTTCTAAAACTAATAATACACTATATGTTAATTACCTGAATTTAAATTAAAAAAAAAAAGAGTCTGTCTCATTCAAAAAAAAAAAAAAAGCCTTTAAGGTGAGGATTTTTGATTACTCTGCTGGCTTCGCCTCAATAGCATATTATGTGCTCATTAGCATTCAGCTCCGCTCCCCAGGAATCCTATCTGCCCGATCACCCACCACTTAAAGGATTCAAAGTGCTTCAAGCAGGCTACCATGTGCACACATAAAGGGTTGACCTCTTGTAGCCAAGAAGAGACGCTGAGTCCATATTCCTCATCCCAAACCCTTTGGGCTAGATGACTCTGTTATTCAGAATTTTTTCAGCTTTTAGGAAGTAGTCAGTGCAAATACTGCATAATCCCTAGTAGGGAAATATCTCATAACAAAACATTAATATTTCTGCAACAGATATACACACTAAGAGGAAAACATGATGGTTACAAATAGCTTCAATTCATACCAGTGTAGGTTCAGGTGACGTTTTGGTGTCAAATGAGTTAATGAAAATAATAAGCACTGGGACTTTGGAAATGAGGACCTGTATAACTCAGGAGCCATATCTCAGCAACTCCATGGAAACACATGGTTTAAAATTGCATTCTACCTTGTCTTCCTTTCACCCAAGAACACTAGACAAAAAAGGTCAGATTTGGACTTGTTCATACATTTGTATCGACTTAAATACATTACATACAAGCCCTACAGTGCGTTGGAAGAGCAGCACAGGCAGCAGCACTCTCCCAGCCGGGCCTCGCCTCCCTGACACGGGGACCGGGCCTGGGGCTGGCAGAGGGCTGGGCTGTCCCGTGAGTGCCGCCCAGAAGCCCGCCCTGGCAGTTTGGGCCCCCAGCTCTCCCCAAGTCCACATTCAAGGCAACCTGAGTACAGACTTCAAGGAGAATGGAGACATGCCAAGAAAGGATGCCCCACATTCTTGCCTGCCAGGACTGGGACCAGCCCCCTTGTACGCTGGACCCAATTTCCTTCTCATCAGAGAGCTGGTCTGGATGAGGGCAATGTGCAGATGTACTTGGCTGGGGGAAGCAAGCAGCTTCCTCTAAGACTGCTTGGGCTCTCTCAACGCCCAGGTGGGAAGTTTTACCAACAGGTCTGTGTAGAGAGGTCTTTGGAGAGCTAGACACACCTGGGTCCCCTCTGGCCTCTGGGAGCCCTGCTGCTCCTGCAGTCTGGGTGCAGGCACTGTCACAAACATGGTCCCGCCAGGCCAGATTCCAGGGTGGCCGAATGAGATTGTCAGGGCTAAGAGCTGTGTCTTTGTCCACAGGGCATGCATATCCAGCTCCCAGAGACGCTTCCTGTCAGCTGGAGGGAACCCCAGCACAAACTGGCTCCTGGGGGCTGGAATGCAAAGGGGCCAGCTTGGCCCAGCTGACAAGAGGACTGCACATCTCTGCTCTGCCTCCTGGGCAGCGGGAGCTGGGCAAGCAGAGGGCACGCAGCCATAGTCCTCGCTCCCTTTCTTTGGTTGTTTTTCAAACCTTCAAGATTGTTTCTTTCCAAGGCTGATTGACCAATCGCAGGGTGCCAGAATCTTGAAGTGTCCAGTAGCGCAGAACTGCCCCTTAGCCACAGATGGCACCCTCTTCACTCCCTCCTGAGGCCATTCTTTGCTTTGGTGTAGAAAGGGCTCGGACACCTGGCAAGGGGGACAGCTGAGGCGAAAGAGACATGGAAGCAGGAAGATGCACACTGAGCTGGGCAGGCACTGCGGGACAGTTTAAAGGCCTTTCTCCTCTGGGCCCTGCCCTTCTCAAGAAGCCAGCGAAAAACTGGCCTGGAACAAGAAGTCAGGGAGCAAAGGGAAGCTGCCGACTAGGAAGAGAACATGAGTCCCGTTACCTCCACCAAGCAGCAGGTGGTGGCATACAGAGAAGTCCAGGGACCTAATATCCTGTCCTCTCATGAGCTGAGATTCACCTCAGAGACCCACTCCAGAACCCAGAACTGAACCCCTAAGTCAAAAGTGTTGAGAAAAAAAATAGCTAACAACAGAACAAATTAGAGGACCGGGGGGAGTTTATCACCAGGACTCAGGAAGCAAGGCTGGGATAAGTTTACCCACAGACCAATTACAGCTCCCAGCATGCACTTAGGCCAGATGGATCGCTTCTGCATGCTGGGGAGGCCACTTCCTCCCTCTTGCCTTTGCCTAAATGGCAGGTAAACTGCAAGCCTGGACTAGGGAGCCTGCGTCCTTAGCAGGGCAGAGAGCAGAGCCGATCTCTATGATCATATGCAGAACCACTGAGAGTTCCGGAGCAAAAGTGTCCCGACCATGAGAACTGGGCTGGGAGGCTTTTAGTCACCTATTGCACTGGTGGGAGAAGGGGAAGAAAACTTGGCAAAAATCCAAAGGAAAGGTGTGGCTTCTGTCTGTCCCAACTGGTGAGTCACCCAGTGGCTCTCTGAATCACCCAGCCGCATTGGTCCACGGGAGTAAGGAACTGTGAGGCACCTGAGTGTCTGGGTCCATGCAAATTTAGGTCTGGATCAGAGGTTTCTGACCTGAGAGGATCTGGGATTCTGCCTGGGTTTTGCTACTAATATTTAAATTCGTATTTGTGTGCTCATTTTCTGATGCAGAATATAATGAGGAATTGCCACAGAGCAGGGTGTCAGGGAGGGAAGGGGATTTCCCAGCCTGCCCCCAGAGGATGCTGGGAGATGCTCCTTCCGGGGCCTCTGGACTACTCACTTGCATGGAGGCTCCAGCCCTCCCTAGCACTTTGAAGGGCCCAACAGCACATACTGTCCCTCCGATTGTGCTTCTCCCTGTGCTTGGGAAAGCGCTGAGGGGGTGGCAAGCAGAGAAGAAGGGCTCTTAAGGGCACTGCTCTCCACCGGCTTCTCTGGCTTTTCCTGCAACCCACTCCCCAGGCTTCCTCCCAGCCCAAGTCTCAAACAACATGTCTTTGTCTGCCTCTTGGGCTACCACCACGAAAAGAAGGGCTTCCGACTCTGAAAGCTCTGTGTGTAGGACTCGCTAGAAGACCGCTGGTGGGAACGGGCCGTCTCGACAATCACGGGTGGCATCTGGACAAGGTGCAGGGGACTCTTGTTGTCTTTCAGAGCCTGGGTCAGATTTAGGATCTGCGGCAGGAAAAATAAGATCAGTGAGGGAAAGACCAAGGCATCCTGGTCTGCCTCTGAAGGGAGACCTGCTGATAAGAGTACTCCCATAAATCAATACAAAAATAAATAACACATTGATGGAAAATTATACAAATAGGGTATTTCCAAAAGTAGGAATATAAGGGGGCAAAATACAGAAAATGGAAATCTCTCTGGTCATTTAAAAAATGCAAATTAAAACCAAAACCTCCCATTTTTGCCCTTCCCATTAGTAAGGATACAGAAGAAGAAGAAGATGCCTCAGATTTGAGGAAAGTTCAGAGCCAGGCTATGGGGCTGGACCCTGGGCCAGTTTTTCAGAAAGGCTTAAAAGTGAACAGGCCCTCTGACTGAGCAATTCCATTTGTAGGAACTAAAGAAACAATCATGGATACACACGAAACACTTAGTTTCAACTAATACAGTGCAATATTGTTTATAACAGTGAAAATGGTATAAATGCCCAAGAGCATGGGATCAGTTAATAATCTAAGGGATAAGAAATAGCAATTAAAAGATCTATTTTATTGTCATGGAAAGCTAATCCCGACGTCAACAGACAGAAAAGGACAGAGACAGGAGCCAGTATTATAACGTGACTCCACCTTTATTTTCTGAAATTCTATCTTCTTATCTACCTATCTACAGAGAAAAAAAATTCTGGAAGTTGGCAGTAATTATCTCTGAGTCAAGAAATTATAGGTGATTTTTATTTGTTCATTGTTGTTTACCCTTATTTTCTGATTTTCCTACAAAGACCATGTATTTTGAAAAAAGTCAACATTTCACTTGGCTTCTCTCTCAAATGCTATCATTGTTTTTTAGACTTATGGAAAAGTTACAAAGATCGTGCAGAAGTTACTCAGTTTCTCCTAATCTTAAATTTTTACATAACTACAGTACATTTACCAAAACTAAGAAATTAACACTGGAACATTACTATAAACCAAACTCCAGACTTAATTCGGATTTCATTAGATTTTCCAGTACCGTTCTTTTTCTATTTCAGGATCCCATTAGGGATACCACATTGCATTTAGCTCTTTATCAACTTTTGTCCATATTTTACAGATATTTCAGAAATGTGTTCATGGGAGGGGCGCCTGGGTGGTTTAGTCAGTTAAGCATCTGCCTTCAGCTCAGGTCAAGATCCCAGGATCCTGGGATTGAGTCCCACATTGGGCTCCCTGATCAGCAGTGTGTTTGCTTCTCCCTCTCCCTGACTTGTGCTCTCGCATACTCTCTCTCTCAAATAAATAAATAAAATCTTAAAAAAAAAAGAAATGTGTTCATGGGAACATGTTTGTCAAAATTAGAATCACCACCATTTATCTTCTCTGATAGGACAGTACAAAAATGGAAGTTGTCCTATGATAGCCTGCTTGCTTGCTTTTTAAGTTTCTTTTTTTTTTTTAAGGTTTTATTTTTAGGGGCACCTGGGTGGCTCAGTCGTTAAGTGTCTGCCTTCAGCTAAGGTCATGGTCCCAGGGTCCTGGGATCAAGCCCCGCATCAGGCTCCCTACTCAGCAGAAGCCTGCTTCTCCCTCCCCCACTCCCCCTGCTTGTGTTTCCTCTCTCACTGTGTCTCTCTCTGTCAAATAAATAAAAAATTTTTAAAAAAAAGATTTTATTTTTAAGTAATCTCTACACCCAACGTTGAGGCTCAAACTCACAACCCCAAGATCAAGAGTCACATGCTCTACCAACTGAGCCAGACAGGCACCTTCTTTAAACCGCCTGATACTGAAGATTTTCATGGCCAGGCCATAGACACAGGGGAGGATAAGCAGGGCTGCACCCTCAAATCACACAGACACATAGTCCTCAAGCCACAAATATCTTGGGTCTGCAAATGCTGCCCATAAAGAGGCAGAGATACACCTGAAACAGAGGGGGAAGTCAGAAGTGGATCCTATCAGTAATTATATTTTTTACTTAATTGTTTGGTATCTGTCAGCATCCTCCACTGCTTCAAAGACCCTTGAACACAAAACTCAGGGTAGAGAATGAAAAGGAGGTTCAAATAGAATTGGAGTGAATTGTACAGGAGACTACCCAACTTAAGAGACAGGATTTTAAACCTGCCCTGGCTGGTTCTTCCTGTGCTTCCTTTGGTTCTTTGGGCTAGAAGCTGCCTCTCATGCATGCTGAAGTATCTGGAGTAAAATGTCAAATTATCTACAACTTACTTTCAAAAGATTTGGTCAAAAAGAAAATATATCAATCTATCTACCGAGGGAGAGACAAATTTCACAGGTATATTAAAGAGAGAAATTACATGGATATATAGAGATAGACATTATTCTGATAGATAATCTACAGAGATACAAGCAAATAGATATAGAGATAAAGCAAGTGTGGCTAAGTGTAATGATTGGTGAATCTAGGAAAAGATAGTCTTTACTGAGGTTTGAAATTTTTCAAATTAAAAAGTTGACGAAAAAGTGATAGCAGGCCCATAATGCTAAAGAATGAACATTGTCTTTGAATATGCCATTTAAAGAGGCTTTACCTCAGACCCTGCACTCTATCTAACACCTGGTGTGACGTCTTTACAGTGAGTAACAACTTCTGTCACCCAACTCCGTCTCTCTGGAGTTCTTGACTCTTTCTCCTGGCTCAGGGCCCTCATACAGGCACTCTGTGACTAGGCTCAGGTAGGTAAAGGGTTGTGACCTCCTTTCCCTGTGGTAGGTCAGACTTCTGGAAGGCAACGGCTCATTTTGCCCTGACTGGTAAGCTAATAAGGATGTAACTGGTATTGGCCACCTACCTGCTGAAAGGAGCTGGATGCTCATGAAACCTTACGGTGTTTCAGAGGTAGGCACTCTAGGTTGTAAGAGGCCAAAAGGCCCTCAAAAGACATTAAGGGCACAAAACAGAAAGAAAGATAAAATTACACTCCCCCTCCCCTCCCTTTCTGCCACTCTAGATAACATCCCTAACTGGATATGAGAGGAGGGTTGCTATGGTTTTGGCAAGGGACTGAGTTGGAAAGGGATCAGGGAAGATAATACAACAGGGACCGAGGCACGGCCTACATAAACTTGAGAAACAGTTCATTCCTTTATGCTGAGTTCCATAATACCACAGCACATCATATGGTTTTTAAGGCTTCCAAAAATTCTGCCAGCTTAACTGGGCCTTTACACAACTTGAGAAATGTAGGAAGACCGCGTTACTGGTATGCAGGCAGCTATAACCACAGCTCTTAAAACCTCTGTACGTCCCATTTCCAAGGAAACATGGACTCGGTAAGCCCAAGAGTTGCTCTCACCAGAAGCCTTTACCAAAACAGTAGGAAGAGGTAAATGCCTAATTACAACTAGAAAGACCTTCCTATCTTTTAAAGATGTGAAAAGCTGCTTTTTCTATATACAAAATCATAAAACAGCTAATGCATATCGAGAACTTCAATCCATCAAGCACTACTCCAAATCATTTATTTCATAATAACCCTATGAACGTAGGTGCTGTTATTAATCCCATGTTACAAATGGAGAAACTAAAGGAAGGAGAGATTAAGCAGCTTCTCCAAGAACTCACAGCCAATAAATGACAGAGCCAGGATTCAAACACAGGCACCATGACCAGTGTGTGCCCCTTAACCACTGAGCCATCCCGGATCTCTTTAAAGTGATAAGAACGTCAGTGCCCTACAGAGTTTTAATACAATTTTTCAGGCATAGTCTTTACTATACTTTGGAAGATCAACAATTCCCTAGGGGTTTCCTTAGCTCTCTTTGAAGGTGAAGTGGAGAGAGAAGAAATAATACGACTTGTAACCATAACAAAAATTATAACCATAGCCAATTTATGAGTACTAACCACGTGCTAGGTAATTGTCTTTACTAAACATCTGACATGCATTATCTTATGTAATCCTTTGGCCAACTGTGCAAGGTGTTATTATTGTCACATTTTATAAACAAGGAAGCAGAGGCTCTTGCCCAAGGCCTCAGAGCTTGTAAGCAGTGAAGAAGTCTGACTCCAGAGGCTAGCTCATAACCACCAAAGCATATGGCCTGCCTTGAGCAACTTGAGGACAGGGGCCACTGGGTAAATTTACCAATGAACCACCCAGCACAACTGGCACAGAGCTGAGCACATAGTGCCTCACGGAGCACTGGATACCATGGAAGAGGTGGGAGATTTGAAAGGGCTCCCTTTCTTCTCCCATGTGCTAAGACAGAGTCATAAATAAGTATGGCATAGACTCAAAGGGTGTAAAACACAAGCTTTATGCATTTACTCAACATAAGCATATGACCCGCCCAGAGAGATCCCAGGGATGACACCAGGAGGGAGTCCGAGGCTTACCTGTCCCCGCATGACAGCAATCTGCTTATGGAACTGGCCCCTGTCGAAACCAGGATCTTTCTGTAAAAGGGCAGGAGATGGAAACTGCATGAATCCCTCAGAAGAACCCATTTTCTTCCCCCAAATAGAAACTTTCTAATAAAGAAAACTTACATGAGGCTTATGAGGCTTAGTGAAGTTAACTACCACCCTAAGAACTCTGTTTCACAGATGGGGAAAGAGAGAACAAGTAAATATCTTGTCCTGAGTCTCATTATGAACTCTATAAAGAACTCCAGGCTCTAGTGCTCCATTTGCAAAGAAGGGCTCTGTAAACACACTGCAGCCCCATGACATGCAGGATAAACCCACGCTGATTCATCACAGCTGTCAATGTTTTTTTTTCAAACTGCCCCAAACTAGGTCTTGCTGTCCACATGTGGGAATCTTGCTCACTCTTCATTGGCTAACACAAGTCAGAAGAGTGTTAGCCATTCTCTCTTGGCTTGTATCAGAAGCCATTTGAGAAGCCATTAGAAATTCCTTCTTCTATATAGTTATAAGGTTGAGGCTCCCAGGGCTAACCTTGAAGAGTTCATATAGGTCCTCCTCCAAGTCCTTGACGAAGTTAGGGTCCGAAATCTTTGGAAGAATCAGATCTTTGATCTCCTGAGAGAACGGGACTTTTGCCTGAGGCAACCAGGCCCAGTAAAAGGGATCTGAAAAGAAGAAAAGCACAAAGCAACGCTGCCCATCTATGTCCTCCACCTATCAGAGCACAGCAAAAGGCAGAACGCCCCTCTCACATGATATACAACAGGAAAGAAAATTACAAGGGATGTTAATCCTAAAGGCTACAGAGTAAGTGGAGGAATTAGGATTCAAACCCAGGACTGTAGAATCCCAGAGCTGGTGCTCTTTCCCAGACATCACATGACCTTCCAGTGACTTGCCACTGAGATATTCAGATGCTCCTTCTGAGAAGACAGACTGGTACTGCACAGGGGCTAGTGACCCCCTACTTGTATCTCTCTCTCTTTCCAAGAGTTTCTTAGTTAGAACAGGAGCTGACTTCCAGGATGTCAACAAGGAAGACAGAACACTGACAATAGCTTATATTTAGAAACACAAATAGAATAAATAAGATAGTCCTCAGAAAGAACGAAAGAAAATGCGAAAACATGAGAAAACTCAATTGTGTGCTTTTAATAGGAATAACGTAAAGGTAAAAATGATGATAACAGCTCGTGTTCTGCATACTTGCCACGTGCCCGCTACTGTGCTAAATGCATGAGCTGCATTATTCCATGAAGTCTTAGAATAATCCTGTCGTAGAGGCATTATTATCTTCATTGCATAGATGAGAAACTGAGACTGAGCAAGAAAAGAGCCAGACCACAGTGGTCTTAGACTTACATGCCCTCCAGGAGTCAGGATGTTTCAGGGGGAAAGCCAGCCCATTGTCTATGGCAGCCACCTTGATAACAGGCTCCTTCACCACCACCCAGTCTGTGTCCTGAAGAGCAAGGAAAGACTGAATACTTAGGCTCCCAACTGTCTCATGCCCTTCAAAGTAGTAGCAAAGCACCCCACCTCAACCCCCTCAGGCACCAATCCTTAGTCAACCTCTGAACTGGTTTCCATAGTTCCTAAATTTAGTACATTTATGGCACCTCTGACTCGGCCTCTTCAAAGTTCTCAGAGTCCCTTATCTTAGAAAAGGTGCACTTCCCCAGGAGTTGCCACAGCCCTTGGTAAGAAGGAAACTGACAGTAACAAAGGTAACTCTAAGCCTTTCCTCCTTGGGAAAAGCAGTGAGAGTCCTGAGAGTATGAAAAGGAAAAAGGAAAAGCAAGTATCAGCCCGCCAAGGTCCTTTTGTGTGGACCTTGACCAGATGCTACTGCACTGGTGACCACATTTTCCCGTGACATAACAGAACCATGGAAGTAACAGCTGGCTGCTCTTGCACAAGACAGTCTCTTGCCATTTCAGTGATAAGGGAAAAGGACAAGGCTGACTGCAAAGAGTGGGGCAGGCTACCTATGATAGCCTGTCAGACACTCTCATGACTGTCTGTTTGGCCCATACTTCAGGTTCACAGGTGCCATCACAGAAATAGGGTATGTAGGTTGAAGATACCTGCATCGGAATCCCCTAGGATGTCTTATTAAAAGTATGGAATCCTGGGGCGCCTGGGTGGCTCAGTCAGTTAAGCGCTGCCTTCAGCTCAGGTCATGATCCCAGGGTCCTGGGATCGAGTCCCGCATCAGCCTCCCTGCTCAGTGGGAAGCCTGCTTCCCCATCTCCCTCTGCCCCTCCCCCTGCTTGTGCTTATGCTCTCTCTCTGTCAAATAAATGAAAATAACAAAAAGTATGGAATCCTGAGTTTTACCCCAGACCTAGTGGAGGAAAGGCCTGAAGACTCTGACTATTTTTAATAAGCTCTTCATGTACCAAATATGAGAACCACAATTAGAGAAGGAAGTAAAAACACTATGAGAATGTGTTAACTGACCTTATTGTGGTAAACATTTTGCAAAATATACATGCATCAAATCACCACGTTGCACATCTTAAATCTGCACAATGTTATACGTCAATTCTATTTAAATAAAGCTGGACAGAGAAAAACTTATTATAAGGAATAAAAGTCAACCTTACTCTCCTATTCTAGGTAGCATTCCTACTAATTTTTTTAAATGTGCAGACTGAGCAGGAATAGAAAAGCATGGTAGAGGATGAAAGCAATGAGAAAGTAAGGAAAGTTGCAGGAAGCAGCGTTTTCTAATCTGATGTTCTATGGAACGGTCTATTATGAGGAAAGTATTCTAAAAAAGTTTAGAAATCACTGGGCCAAACAAAATTAAAGAGGTTCATTTAATGGACTACTTCTCAAACCTTTACTATGCTACCATGCAATGTGAATCTCCAAGAAAGGCATCAAGTATGTAATATGTTCCAAACATATTTGAACCTTTCTTCATTCTATCTCTATGAACACCATTCAAGAAGATACCACTTAAAAATCAGATTGAGACAAACTCTATCAAATATTAACCTATCAATTTTAAACATATGTGCTATCCTGATTCTTCTGAACCTATGTGACCTAATCTCTGATTATTATGTGTTTCTGTATTATGCATACACACTATCTCATCTTCTTCTTTAAGACACAGATCAATCTCTTACCCGGGAGCTAGAACTATCCATTGGACAGTCATATTTAATCAGCCAGTTGTCATTGCCTCGATCTGTGAACAGAAACATGAAGTTAGAAAAAACTGGGGTGACTTTCACTTTCAGTCATGATGGACTACATATTTTGGGCACTTGGTCCAATCATTCTACTGAGAACACCTATAAAAAATTGATAAAATATTTTTAAATCTCTTGAAGGTATTGGCGATTTTAACAAGACCATTAAGAGTTAAAGTGTTGAGACCTGGGAGAGAAAGGAAATTCAGACAGGGAGTCCATCATCTGTGGCTTATTTTCTCCTAGAGCACCTGCTGGTTGTAGGGCTGGGTGTAAGTTTTTTTAAACTTAAAAATAAATAAATAGGGGCGCCTGGGTGGCTCAGTTGGTTAAGCAACTGCCTTCAGCTCAGGTCATGATCTCAGCCCCGCATCGGGCTCCCTGCTCCGCGGGAAGCCTGCTTCTCCCTCTGACCCTCCCCCTGCTTGTGTTCCCTCTCTCGCTGTCTCTCTCTGTCAATTAAATAAATAAATAAAATCTTTTTTAAAAAATAAATTAAATAAATAAATAAATAAATAAATAAATAAATAAAATAAAGAGAGAATAGCTGAGAATCTTCCAAAACTGACAAAAGGTATCAAACTATTGATTCAAGGGAAACTGTGAATCCCTAACAGGATAATACAAAGAAAACTATACCAAGCATATTGCAGTAAAAATTTTGAAAACCAACTACAGGGAAAATCTCAAAGAAGCCAGAGAAAAAAAGAGATTACCTTCAAAGAAACAACAATAATACAGGAACAACTGGCTTCACAGAAATCATGGGAACAGAAGACAATGGAATGGGTTTTTTTTTAACTATTGAAAGAAAATGACTACCAATCCCAAATTCTACACCCAGCAAACATAGCCTTCAAAAATGAAGGTGAGGAGCGCCTGGGTGGCTCAGTCGTTAAGCGTCTGCCTTAGGCTGAGGTCATTATCCCAGGTCCTGGGATCGAGCCCCGCATCTGGCTCCCTGCTCAGCGGGAAGCCTGCTTCTCCCTCTCCCACTCCCCCTGCTTGTGTTCCCTCTCTTGCTGTGTCTCTATCAAATAAATAAATAAAATCTTTAAAAAAAAACAAAAAACAAAAATGAAGACATTTTCAAACCAACAAAACCAAAATTCATCATCAGCAGACTAGTATTAAAATATTCTCTAAGTCGGGGCACCTGGGTGGCTCAGCCGATTAAGCGTCTGACTTTGACTCAGGTCATGATCCCAGGATCCTGGGATCAGGCCCTGCCTCAGGCTCCCCACTCAGTGGGGAGTCTGCTTGTCCCTCTCCCTCTGCCCCTTCCCCTGCTTGTGCTCTTTCTCTCTCTCTCTCAAATAAATAAATAAAATCTTAAAAACAAAAGTATCTATATTCTCTAAGTCAAAGGAAAATTATCCCAAACAGAAGCTTGGAGATACAGGAAAACTGAAAGAGCAATAAAATGGGTAAACATATTAGTAAATCTAGATAAATATTAGCTTTTTGTGATATAAGTGTTTTTTTTTTAAAGAGTTATCTTTTAGAGGGCGCCTGGGTGGCTCAGTTGGTTAAGCGACTGCCTTCGGCTCAGGTCATGATCCTGGGGTCCCGGGATCGAGTCCCGCATCGGGCTCCCTGCTCAGCGGGGAGTCTGCTTCTCCCTCTGACCCTCTTCCCTCTCGTGCTCTCTCTCATTCTCTCTCTCTCTCTCTCAAATAAATAAATAAAATCTTAAAAAAAAAAAAGAGTTATCTTTTAGAGACACATACTGAAATAATTATGAATAAAATTACATCTGTAATTTGCTTTAAAATAATAAAAGAAGATAAGTAAACGGAAGTGTGAATGGGATAGGATTAGTCATGGACTGATGGTTGTTAAGGCTGGAATGACCAGTGCATGGAGGTTCACTATTCTGCTTTATTTATATAGGCTCAAACGTCTCCATAAGTATTATTAATAACAGTAATAATAACAATATCATCTTATGGTTTTACAGAAAAGTGGTTTTACATATGCACAAACATACAGACACATATACATACATACATGCATATATAATTAAAATGTATGACACTAATAGTACAAAAGTCTGGAGATAGGAAATCAAAGATTCACATGGTAATCTTTAGAGTAACCATCAAGGGAAAAGACAAAGCATATAAACTTCTGAGCTAAAAGAGGGGAGAAATGAAATACTTACAAAATAGTTTAAGATTTTATTTAGAGAGAGAGAAAGCACGTGTGAGCAGAGGGCGGGGCAGAGGGAGAGGGAGAAAGAATCTCAAGCAGAGTCTGTGCTGAGCACAGAGTCTGACATTGGGCTCAATCTCATGACCCTGAGATCATGACCTGAGCCAAAATCAAGAGTCAGACGCTTAACCGAATGAGCCACCCAGGCGCCCCTAATTACAAAATAATTTTAAAAGAAAGCAAGAAAGAAAAGAGATCATAGGGAGAAGGGGAGGAAAAAAAAAAAAGACAAGCACACAAAATAGAAAGGAAATAAGATGGTGGATGAAAATCCAAATATATATGTACATTATAGATAAATAAACCAAATGCTCTAAAACTAAAATATAAGAGTTGTCTCACTGGATGAATAAAATTGATAACCATTGAGCTATTTAGTTTAAGAAAAAAAGAGAGAAGAATGAAATTGCTAAAATCAGAAATGAAAGTAGGGACATTACTACCAATTTTACCAAAATAAAAATAAAAAGGATTGTAAGAGAGTACTATAGGCAATTGTATACCCAGAAACTGGATAACCTAGATGAAATGGCCACATTCCTAGAAACACAAAAGCTAAAGACTAGACCATGCAGGGGCGCCTGGGTGGCTCAGCTGGTTAAGCAGCCAACTCTTGATTTCAGCTCAAGTCATGATCTCAGGGTCATGAGATCAAGCCCCATGTTAACAATAAAAGTCATACATGAAAAACCACAACAAACATCATCCTCAATGGTGAAAGACCAAAAGCTTTTCTCTAAGATCTAGAACAAGGCAAAGATGCCCGCTTTCAACATTTCTATTCAACTTGGTACTGGAAGACCAGAGCAATTATGCATGAGAAAGAAATAAAAGGCATCTAAATTTGAAAGAAAGAAGTAAAATTATCTGTTTACAGATGATATGACTTTATATGTAGAAAACCCTAATGATGCCACACACAAAAAATCAGAATAAACTCAGCAAAGTATCAGAGTACAAAGTCAACACATAAAAATCATTTGTGTTTCTACTTACTAACAACAAACAATCCAAAAAGCAAATTAACAATTCCATTTAGCATCAAAAAGCATAAAATACTTAGGAATTAATTTAACCAAGGAGGTGAAAGATTTGTATAATAAAAACTACAAAACATGGCTGAAAGAAATTAAAGAAGACATAAATAAATGGAAAGACATTCCATACTCACAGACTGGAAGGCTCAATATGGTTAAGATGTCAATACTACTTTGAAGCTATTTAGAGATTTAATGCAATTCCTATCAAAATCCCAATGATGTTTTTTGCAGAAATAGAAAAACCCATCCTAAAATTTATATGCAATCTCAAGGGATACCAAATAGACAAAACAATCCAGAAAGAAAAGAACAAAGCTCGGGGACTCACACTTCCTTCAAATTTCCAAACTTACTATAAAACTATACTTACTATAGGGGCGCCTGGGTGGCTCAGTCTGTTGGGTGTCCAGCTCTTAGTTTCAGCTCAGGTTGTAATCTTGGGGTTGTAAAATCGAGCCCTGGGTCAGGCTCTGCGCTGGGCATGGAGCCTGCTTAGGATTCTCTCTCTCCCTCTGCCCCTCCTCCCCAACTTGTGCGCACATGTGCGCGTACTCTCTCAAACAAACAAAACAAAACTATGCTTATTACAAAACTTAATACAAAGCTATATAAATCAAAATAGTGTGGTAATGGCATAAAGACGGACACATAGACAAATGAAATACCATACAGTCTAGACATAAACCTTTGCATGTATGATCAAATGGTTTTCAACAAGGGTGACAAGACCCTTCAATGATGAAAAGATAGTCTTTTCAACAGATGGTGCTGGGAAAACTGGATATCCACATACAGAAAATGAAGTTAGACCCTTACCTCAGACCATATACAAAAATTAACTCAAAGTGGATCCATGACCTAAATCTAAGACCAAAAATTATAAGACTCTTAAGACAAAAACATAGGGCAAAAGCTTCATGGCATTAGATTTGGCAATAATTTCTTGCATATGACCCCAAAGGCACAGACAATAAACAAAAAAATAGACAAACTGGACTTTGTGAAAATTTAAAAATTAATTGCATCAAAAGATACTATCAACAGAATAAAAAGGCACCCCATGGAATGGTAGGAAATATTTGCAAATCATGTATTTGATAAGGAATTAATATCCAGAATATATTAAAAAAACTCCTACAACTCAACAACAAAACAACGTGATTCAAAGATGGGAAAAGGAGTTGAACAGACATTCCTCCAAAGATATGCAAATGGCCAAAAAGTAGATGAAAAGATGTTCACAACATCACTAATCATTAGGGAAATGCAAAACTACAAGGAGAGACCACATTATACCTATCAGGATGGCTACAAATGAAAAACAAAACAAAACAAAACCCAGAAAATAACAAGTGGTGATGAAAAGGTAGAGAAACTGGAACCCCTGTGCACCACTGGTGGGAATGTAAAAATGGTGCAGCCACTGTGGAAAACAGGATGGCAGCTCCTCAAAAAATTAAACATAGGTCAACCATACTTCAACTAAAAAAAAATTAAAACAGAACTGCCATATTACCCAGCAATTCCACTTCTGGGTATATACTCAAAAGAAATGAAAGTAGTGTCTCAAAGATATTTGTACACCCATGTTCATAGCAACATTATTCACAAGAGCTAAAACATGGAAGCAACCCAAGTGTCCACTGACGGAGAGATAAGCAAAAACAGTATATACATACAATGTATATCCAGCCTTAAAAAGGAAATTCTGATATATGCTGCAACATGAATAAAGCTTAGGGGCATATACTAAGTGAAATAAGCCAGTCACAAAGTGACAAATACTGTATGAGTCCACTAATATGAGGTACTTAAAGACAAAACTGTCCTGTGATAGGTCTTGCTACTATGAGTAACTAGGGATCAAGGGCAAAAGTATTCCTGATGTTGCTTTGGAAGAGCCAGTGTGTCTTCTGTCTGGGACCGGGAAAGAGGTTAAGATAAAACATTAGTAACTACTGGCTCCAGGATTCCCTACCTCTGATAACCGCACATGATGTGCCTGAACAAAGCTTGTCTTGGAAAATTATTTTCAAGGCCCTTCTGACTTAGGAAACCTTCATCCCAAGAAGGCACTCTGGTATGGAGTACCTCACGGTGGTCTAGCACAGGTCCCGGGCTGCCCATAGCTGCTCACCAGTGTTGCGGATGATGTAGTCCAGCACCACCAGCCGCTCAAACTGCAGCAGTAGCTGCCGGTTAGTGTTCTCCGGGAGAGGTTCTGCTTCAAAACGCCGTAGCCAGTAGTCTGCATCTTTGTAGCCTTCAACAAAGAGCTGGAATGAACCAACCTGCAGCCAAAGAGCAGGAATAAAGGTATTTCCCTACAGCTCAAGTCCAGAGAGCCCAGGAGTAAGCCGGGTGGCCCATAATGCCCTATGGAGTTTATATCAGGAAAAGGTCATAAGAGTGACTGCCCATCCAAATTCAAGAAGCGCATCTAAATGGGCCAGAGCAGTAAAGTGAGAAAGTTAGGGGCTCTGTTCTCTGGAGAATTATTCCCCAAACCTTAGACCCTCAGAAATGAGGAAGACGGAAGCCTCAGGGCAGGCTATTCACATGTCTATACGCAAGTCTCTATGCGCCTTGTTTCACCACTTGGATGGCTATGCCACCATACATCATCACCTTTACTAAGCCACATAGGTGCAGTGTATACCTTTGGCGGTAGCCCGATGCGATTAAACCGCTGCCCAACTTTTGGCACTTTCTCTAGCGCAAGCCGCTTGCCCCTGGACTTTACTCGGTCAATGGCACTATAGTTGAAGGTATCACTGGCCAGGTATACTACCTACAGTGGAAAGAGAACAGATACCTAGGTTACAGTTGAGTATAAGGAAATACATCACTATGGCAGGGAATACCTGGATGCTCACCAATACTGTTCCTCTTCCAGGGGATGCAGAAAGAATGTACTTCTCAGCCTTTCTAATATGAGTAGTTCAGGCCAATGGAATGTTGACAAAGTGATGTCCGTATATCACTTCCGGGCCTGTCCCCTTAAATCTCCCATGATCCTTAGTTCACACTCCCCAATCTGTGCAGCTGGAAATGAAGGGCTCAGAGATGAGCCAAAACCACATCATGGAAGGATCTTAGATCTCTTGTCCCTACATGGAGTGATAAGGGATCTGGGAGAACTGCCTAACTGGCATGAATCTATGATGTGAGCGAGATCCATTCAACCACTGAGATTCAGGAGTTGTTATAGCAGCTAGCAGGAATTCCCCTGTCTAATACAGCCATCTCCTGGGTTAGGAGAAGAGGGCCCAGGGCCTATTTTTCTCTCCAGGTAAAAACAAATTGCGATTCACTCTATACCCTTTTATTCCTTTTGAATTCTGTACTATGTGCAATTTATTCACATTTTAAAAATAAACATTAAAAAATAAACATTAGGGGCGCCTGGGTGGCTTAGTTGGTTAAGTGTCTGCCTTCGGCTCAGGTCATGATCCCAGGGTCCTGGGACTGGGCCCCGCATCGGGCTCTCTGCTCAGCGGGGAGTCTGCTTCTCCCTCTCCCTCTATCTACTGCTCTGCCTACTTGTGCTCTGTCAAATAAATAAAACCTTAAAAAAAATTAAAAAATAAACATTAAAATGGCTTTTAATCTTTAGTGAATTGCTATATAACATGCATATCTATGCAGACTTTATCTGGAATATTACACAAGAAACTAGTACCAGAAGCTGCCTCTGAGGAAGGAAATGGAGTGGCTGGAAGGCAGAGGTGGGAGAGAGGCTGAACTGCTCTTCTCTGTTTACCCTCCTGTGCCTTCTGATTTCTACACTAGATGCCCGCATTAACTATTCAAAAAAACATTTTTTTAAAGATTTTATTTCTTTGAGAAAGAGAGACGGAGCATGAGCAGGGTGGAGGGGCAGAGGGAGAGGGAGAAGCAGAAGCAGGAAACAGGCTCCCAGCTCTCTGCCCAGGACCCCAGGATCATGACCTGAGCTAAAGGCAGATGCTTAACCGACTGAGCCACCCAAAAACCCTTCAAAAAAACATGTTTTAATGGGCCATCAGTATTACACTTCATTGGGGCGCCTGAGTGGCTCAGTTGGTTAAGTGTCCAACTCCTGATTTCGGCTCAGGTCATGACCGAGTCCCACGTCAGGCTCCGCACTGGGCATGGAGACTGCTTCAGATTCTCTCTCTCTTCCTCTCCCTCTGTCCCACCCCCCCCAAAAAAAATTACACTTGATTGTCAAATTGTGGTAATAACACTGTAATCCGTATGTATGTCCATTATCACCCTTATCACACCATCTTGTGATTATCCATTTATACATCTAACCTCTCTCTTAAGACTCAAGAGATTTGGGGGGAAAAGTGAACATCTTATTTTATTCATATTAGCATCTTCAGTACCTAACACAGTGGCTGGCACATGCTCATTAAATATTTATTAAGTGAATGCATGAATGAGTTACAAGCTCCTTTCAGAGATAGCAACAAGTGAGTCTCAGCATATAAACAACGAAAATCAAATTTAAAATTCTTTCTTTTCTAAGCCTTGTAAAATTCATTACAAATAACTAATTATTGTGCCTATGAATCTTAGAGAGGGACAAAATCATTCCCTCCCTCCTAGCCATTCATCTGTCCATCCAAAGTTAACAGGAGTATCTACAATGGATGTGCAAGGTACAGTAGGTTGGCAATCTCTGCCCAGGAAACACAAGCACAGAAATTAAGGAGAAAAAAGGCTGTCCTAAGAATACCTTGCCAGTTTCCACAATGAAAACCCTCACTCTCTCAAGCAATAAACCACCCTTTCCCCCCAATCAGACTTATTTTTTTTTTTAAGATTTTATTTATTTATTTGACAGAGAGAGACACAGCGAGAGGGGGAACACAAGCAGGGGGAGTGGGAGAGGGAGAAGCAGGCTTTCCGCAGAGCAGGGAGCCCGATGCAGGGCTCGATCCCAGGACCCTGGGATCATGACCTGAGCCAAAAGCAGATGCTTAATGACTGAGCCACCCAGGCGCCCCTCAGATTTATTTTCAATCACTCTCTGTAACAACCTACTTTTTTCTCTATGACTAATGAAACTATCATAACCCGAAACCTTACAGTAACAGAGAGCAGAAAACAAGCTATCGAGTGAGACCTGGAACCTTACTATTTGAAGCTCCATCATAACATGAGCCCTGTTCCCATAGCAATAGATGCTCTCATTAACTGGATAGAATCCTGTCACAAGGGTGGGGAGGGTGGGAGAGGAGAGACCTCCTCTCACTATTCTCTGGCAGCTGTAGGTTAAGCTTGCAAAGTTCTGTCTCATCTCAGTCTCATGGAAGGCTAGTATTTTGTTGTTGCTGACTTTTTGATGCAGAACATCAAACAGGGAAACATCTAACAGGGAAAGAGGAAGACCAGAGATGGGGAAGAACAGGATCATGGCAGGTGACATTCTATTATGATTAGAATTGTCATAAAAGTACCACAGGCTAAGACATATGGAGTATTTACATTGTGCCAAGGCACTGGGCTACGTGTTTTACATGGATTATCCTGTGTAATCTTAATAGCAGGCCCATAAAGTAGGAACTATTTATATCCTTATTTTTATAGTGAGGAAACTGAGCACACAAAGCGTGTGGGGGTGTCTTAAGTGACTTGCCAAGGGTCACCCAATCAAGAGCTGCAGAGCCAGAATTGGAACTCAAGCCCTGATTTTTAGGCACTACACTCCAGAAACACAGGCAGAACACGCACAGGGCCAGGGGCAGACTGCTATTTACCTAGTAAAGAAAAGGAATTACAGTGATGAGCAAGGAGTATTTAAAAGAATGTTTAGAGTCTAGGAGGGGCCTAGTAGGAGGAATTCAGGTTAGGCAGGAGATCTCTGGAGCATTAATCATCATACAAGATGTTCAACACAACTAAAGCATAAAGGGAAGGAATGAGCTGTACAAGGTCAGGCAGTGAATCAGCTGTCACTGGGAGCTATAAGCAAACACTCTCCCCATAGATCTGAGCTGGGAGATCTCTAGGATTGTCCCTCATGTTTTGACATTCACTCACTGATTCAGCTGGCACTTACCATAAAAACAGGACTTTGCTTGGGGCACCTGGGTGGTTCAGTCGGTTAAGTGTCCGACTCTTGATTTTGGCTCAGATCACTATCTCAGGGTCATGAGACTGTGCTGAGCATGCAGCCTGCTTGAGACTCTCGCTCCCTATCCCTCTGCCGCCCCACGCCCCGCCCTCCAGCTCATGTGCACACTCTCTCAAAACAAAAACACAAACAAAAAAACCCACAGTACTTTGCTAGGTGCTGAGAATAAGAGGAAATTTCAAGAAATGGTCCCTGACTTCCACAAACTTACAAACCAGTTGGCTGATTGTTTGGAGTTTGGCAGCAAAGGAGCAGACAGTTAAACCACCACAACAATCACAATTTCTTCTAAAACACCCTGGGAAAACAGAAAAAATAGGTTTGAAGGGAAGCTCCTGTCTGCTGATCAGTCTCTTTGCCCACAGAGTCTACTATCTAAACCTACAAAGAAAACCTCAAGCAGGGGTCTTTAGTCTATTGGCATGGTCCTTACAAGGTTAATGAATGGACTCCAACTGGTCCATGAACCATCCCAGTGAAATTATATGCAAAACAACAGTTGTAAACATATGAATTTTTTTCTGGGAACGACATCTCTAGCTTTCATCAGATTCTCAGAGGATTAAGGCCGATAGCTACAAAGATGCCCCTGTAGCCTTAGGGCATCATATCAGAGTTCCACCTCAAGTTGTTACTAAACCTCAGGTAGCCACACATACTAAATGGGTGATGATGTGTCCTTGAAAGTTCATATGCTGACCAGCAGGCATTCCTTCCCCTCACAACCCTTGGAAAGTTTCATGGACACCTGTAGTACAGGGGCTCTTCACCCGGCATCAGTAAAATGTATGCAATCAATTCTGTATTTCAGCATACTGAGGGGGTGGCAGGGCTCAGAACCTAAGCTAAGTCTATCACACATATAAGGTGTGTGCAAATTCATTCTAAGTGTGGATTTGCCTGGATCTGGGACCCCGATTTTGTTATGTTCAGATAAGTACCAGTTTCCCATAGCATAAAGATGGATGAGAATTCCATGTCAGTTCCCGTACAGGTTCAAGCCAGATCTTTACTCTAAACCTCAGCCCATCCTAGACTCCTCCTTGCCAGACCTTACCTAAGTGCCTAGCTAACATCAGTTAGTCCGTTTTAGAACATATCTAAATCATGGAACAGCTCGGAAATCTAAGAGAATGAGCTACAAAAGTAGCTAGGTTTCTAACCAGCTTGCAGTTACCTAGGATGGAAAGACCCGGGAAACCCATAAATGTGCATCACAGGGTCAGTGAATTTCCTGAAATTGTATGCAAAAATTTTATGTGTATCCTTCTCAGGATAGCTTCCTTTTTTTTTTTTTTTAAAGGAAGTATAGTTTATTTTTTTTAAAGATTTTATTTATTTATTTGAGAGAGAGAATGAGAGAGAGAGCACATGAGAGGGGGGAGGGTCAGAGAGAGAAGCAGACTCCCTGCTGAGCAGGGAGCCCAATGCGGGACTCGATCCAGGGACTCCAGGATCATGACCCGAGCCGAAGGCAGTCGCTTAACCAACTGAGCCACCCAGGCGCCCTCTCAGGATAGCTTCCATCAGATGATCATATCATGAGCCTAAATCTACCACCTTCCCCCCAAAAAGGCTGAGAGCCCTAGATTCAGGGCATACATAGCCCTCCTTGGTCGTAATGGCTCCATTAACATGTAGCAGGACTTAGGCCCAGGAAAACTCTGGATAGGCAGTAAGGCTCCCTGGAGATAGGTCACTGACCTTCGTACGGGGTACAATGTTGAGTTCCAGTTTTTGGTCCACCAGACTGGCCCCTGCCTCTGAGAGATAGCCCTGGTTGAGGACAAGGCAGTCACGGCCAAAGCAGCAGGGACAGCATAGTTTCTGCAGCCACTTGGTCCACTTAGGATTAAGGTGCCCATATGGCTCTTCGTTCTTGGGTTTGAAGACAGCAGTGATCTTCTACACAGAGAAAAGAAAAATAGGATGTTAAAGGCAAATTGATTAAAGTAGGTCACAGACTCTAGAAAGAAACTGGAAGGCACAGGCAGACAATCCCTAAAGACAGACACTGGCTTCTCCCCAGCTTGTAAGAGGAAGACACAGCTCATATGTGCAGCTAAGAGACCCACTGCCAGAAAGGGCTGTGGCCAAAGAAGATGCCACATCTAGTATACCTGGTAAAACAGACTTTCACACCATCAAACCCCAACTTCCAAGGTAAATTCATACAAACTATTGTTCTGCATCAATTAGGTAAAAGCTCAAAAAAGCACCAACTGAAAGGTAATTAATAAGGTATTATAGTATGAGGTTAAAAAAATTCCAGCAGTGCTTGATTTCCTCTATCAGTCTTAATATCTCACTCCCTGGGTGTTAACAAAACCTTAAAATAAAAAGTTTAGGAATGACAAATTAAGAAAGCAATGGAAGGAAAAACTCACAGTGTGAAAAAGAATCTGCCATCTGATTACAACAGCGTTCTTTTAAGTAACTCTGACAGGCAAGAGATTAGGACATCAGAGCCCACAAAGATTAAAATCCATCTCCTCTTGCAGGTGAGAACTTAATCCTCAGAGGTCCTTAGACATATGGGATGCTGCTGCAACCCCAAAACAATGGGCCTCCCTTCTGGAGTCTTCCTCCCCAGGTCAGGCAGCCCTCCACAGTTATTTCACATTTGTCTCATTCCCTCTAGTCCCCAAACTGGTACTTTCAAAGGAAGAAAAGTAAATATGCTATCCAAGTGATTCATCTTTGTATCATATGACTCTCCCTCTCTCTCACCCCCACAGCCAACTCAAGCTAGTCTGGGTCATAAGACATTTTCCTTTGAGTGTCACCTCCTGACAGGCAGGTCACAGCAGAAAACATAGGCCCATCTGCCTGCATTAAGTATGTACTCATATTAGGAATTGGCTAGATACATGTCTCCAACAATAATTGGTCCATCTTGAGGCTAGTTCTTTCAAGAAGCCTTACAAGAATTTGAGAGGACAAGAAAAATACAGAACTCTCCTCCCTCCAAGGGAATCAATTTATTCTTAAACACAAACAACCTTACTGATTCACTGGGGAAAGTCAAATGCATAAATTCATATCCTAGGTCTTCAGAATTACCTTTTTATCCAAAATGGCTAGCAAAAGGCCTAAGTTAGCAATATTCCTGTCTCTGTCCCCCCGGAACCCTGGGCTCCAAACCACACAGGAGCAGTAACAAGGGGCTCCCTATCACTCAGAGAATGACCAGTGAGTCCATGGTAACTCTCTGGAACCAGACAGTAAAACCACAGGACAGCTTGAGGCACATCCCCCACAACTTAACAGTCAGTTCAACTGAGGTACAATGTGGAGTTCGGCAGGCTGCTTCCCAGCGGAAGGAAGACCAAGACAATCTTATTAGCGAGGCTGAAACATACCAGGACTGAGGCTTAAATACCTCCATTAAAGAAAGCAGAAACTGAAGGCCAAGATCGCAGCAAAGCCCCATTTACAGACTCACCTCTCAAACTTCTCCATTTCCTTCCGACAGGAGAATTGGAAAGCATCTTGAGGACTGTGAAAGCATTAGTGACCATCACTACCTCAGTATCACACAGGTTCATTAAATAATAACGTTTGGACTGGACAAATGGAGGGACAGTAGGGTGAGAAGAATAGATGAACAGAAAGATATTACGCAGGAAGGGAGACAAGGGCCCTTCAGGATTAAGCATGGCCTCAGTTCAATTCAGTTCTGCTAACATGTGTTCAGTCCTTCATTTGTGTAAGACAGTGTGTGAGCGCCGCAGGTTTGCTGGATGATACATGACACAGCCTCAGGCCTAATTTCCAAAGCTGATGTGAACTTCACATTTTCAGCTGTATTCCTGAATACTCAAGAATACTCTAGAACCACTCAAATCAGAAAGGCACCCACCACGGTTTGGTTGAGAAAGAAAATGTCTACTGCCTAATTTTTCTCATTCTCCTCTCTCTTCTTTACTATACTTTCAATTCCTTTCTTACATTTGGTTAGGAGTAAGCTTCAGTTTGATGCCAATTTTTTTTTTTAAGATTTTATTTATTTGACAGAGAGAGACACAGCGAGAGAGGGAACACAAGCAGGGGGAGTGGGGGAGGGAGAAGCAGGCTTCCTGCGGAGCAGAGAGTCCGATGCGGGGCTCAATCCCAGGACCCTGGGACCATGACCTGAGCCAAAGGCAGACGCTTAACCAACTGAGCCACCCAGGGGCCCCGCCAGTATTTTTCAAATGCCTTTCCTTACCACCCACTGACAAACCCTCCTTTAATGAAAGGGCTAAGGTACAGGGAGCTTAAGCAGCAGCAGCAATGGAGCTGGGGATCCAAAGAGAACTGCACAGGAATCAGGAGGCCACTCACTGGCTGATGTCAGAACCCAAACCAAATACTGGGAACTGGAACGCAAAGGGTTTTCTCTATCTATCCAGCAGCCCCAAGGAGGAAGGTATTATGCGACGCTAAAATTTAAGATAGTTCAAGCACATCGCTCATACTGTACAGTGAAGTACACAGAAATAACATCTAATAAAAGTCTTTTTTTTTTTAATTTGGTAAACATGAAGCTGATGATTCTCCAACATTTTGGTCTGAAGATCCCTTTAAACTCTTAATTATTAAAGACCCCCAAAACTTTTGTTTATGTGGGTAAAACCTACATTTGCTGTATTACAAATTAAAACTGAAATGTTAAGACTGTTAATTCACTTAATAAAAATAAACCTATTACATGTTAATATAGGTGCTATGTTTTTGTGAAAAATAACTATTTTCAAAAACAATTTTTAGTGAAAAGGCAGGCACTGTTTCACATTTTTGCAATCTCTCTAGTGTCTGGCTTAATAAAAGGCAACTGTATTTTCACATCTTCCTTAATATTCAATGCTTTGTTATCACACATCATGTAGCCCCTGGGAATCTCCACTGTGCACACACAAGGAAGTGAGAATGAAAATGGCAAATAGTCTTAAAATTGTTATAAAAATAATTTTGACCTGTGCACTCCTAAAAGGATTCCTACAGATGCTTCAGCCTCGGACAACTGCTGTATCCTGTATTAGGAGTCGGATAGAAACAGCACTCCTATTTAGGCAGAGAAGCCTTATTTACATGTTAACTCTCAGAAAAGAGAGGGATGGGCTACTCCAAATATATGAGACCCTGAAAGAAGATGGGATCCAAACAGAATGCCAACAGAAGAGATTCAGACTGTATTTATTTTCCTATCCACTGCCATTGACCCAACCTGTCTCATCCGTTACAACTGGTGGCCTGGGACAGGTCCCTACAATAGACAGTAATGATGCTTAAAAACCTCAAGAACTACATCTAAATATGACAACAAACTTGACTACCTCTTAACATTTTAGAAAAAAAAAAAGTTATTCTGAGGGTGCCTGGGTGGCTCAGTCCGTTAAGCATCTGCCTTCGGCTCAGGTCGTGATCTCAGGGTCCTGGGATCGAGCCCCAAGTCCAGCTCTCTGCTCAGTGGGGAGTCTGCTTCTCCCTCTCCCTCTGTGCTTGCACACACTCTCTCACTCTCGCTCTCAAATAAATAAAAAAGAATTTAAAAAATTATTCTGTTTGAGATCTTTATTCTTTGTTGGGCTATCAGTGTTGCTCTCAACCACGTATAAGGACATCAGAATTTCTTGGGAGGGCACAGGTAGTTGGAAGAAGCACACTCAGGACTATAACATAATTTTATATTTGAAAAATGAAAAAAAAATCTGTACCATTTTCATGACAAGCTCCTGATGGATAAGTATTTTTAAAAGACTGCAAATTAAATATAAGGCCTAGTTCCTAGAAATGTGGGCAGTATCCATAGAATTTTGAAGCAAATACCAATTAACATTATCTAATAAATTACTATTCTCAGTGGTCATAAAATCATCTCAAAATTATACTACTTTTGCTTTATTCAATGCCATGTATCCAAGAAACCCTAATCCAGAGGTCAGTGAGCATTAACTTAACAAAAGGCAAAACACTCGGAGCTCCTGCTACGTACCAGGAACTATGCCAAAGGCTTTCATGTGTAATATCGCATTTAATCTTCTTAATAAACTAATGAATCACATGCTATTCTATGATTCTTGGCAATATGAACATACAGTATTACTAGCCTCACAAAACAGAAAATGCTCAAAAAATATTTTCATAGGTGATTGAGCATTAAGACCAGAAAGCACAAGAATGCAAGTGAGGGTAATATGAGCACTCTCTACCATGCCTTCTAATCTAGCATTTTCCATCTTACTGTTCTCTAGGTCTCCACTTGCTTGCCCTGAGGGAGAAACCATCCTAAATTGGGAAATGAAATCAGGGCTATTATCTTCAAGAACCTTCTAGCCTCTCTAGCTCCAAAATCAGCTCTGGCAGAAACTGCTGGTTCCCCCAATCTCTGTTCCCTCTTCTTCCTTGGACACGGGACTCCGCATATTTAGTGGGGCAAAATAAAGACTACAGTCCCCAGCCACTACTGCAGTTAAGTTCTGAACAATGGAATATAAAAAGAGTCTGGTGCAACTTCTATGAAATATCTTAAAAGGAAGAGGGCATACTCTCCCTCTCCTTTCCTTCTTCCAACTGGTTGAAAAACAGACAAGATGTCTGCAGTCTGAGTAGCTATCTTGGATCATGAAGTGGAAGCCACATGCTAGGAATGGCTCATCAGCTGGATGGAAGGATGCACATTGTTCATATTGCCATGCCAGCCCTGGGCAGCCTAGAGATCTCTTCTATGAGAGTTAATGTATTTTTATTCAAGTCATTATTTTTTTAAATTTTCTGCCACACATAGCCAAATTTAATCCTAACTAATATGGTAGATGAAAAGAGGAAGCAGAAATTCAGATGACTAACTTTGAGACAGCACTGCATAGTGGTTAAGAGCATGAATTCTGCAGCCAGTTGGCCTGGGTCTGAATCCTGCCTCCTACCTTACTAGCTGTTAAGACCCTAAGCAAATTAGTTATACTGTGTGCCTTGATGTCATCATCTGCGGGGATAATAATAGTACCTACTTCCAAGGGTGTTATAAGTGCTAAGTAAATTATTATTTGTAAAGCACTTAAAACAGTACCTAGTATATAGTAAGTGCTATCTACGTACTTGTTAAATAAAATAAACAAACACATTTGGAGCAGGGCCAAAGATGACACGACCAACTACAGTGAACCTGTGGTTCATTTTAACCCACCACAGCATTTAGGAAGTGGTCCTCTGCTCTGAACCACATTTTCCTCAGTGGGAGCAAGATGGTTATATTAATAAGTTTTGTCAGGGCATACGTGTTTTGACTTCCTCTCTAAGAAAGGACAGTGGCCAGGAAATTTTAGACCCTGGGATCCTGCAAATCACCAAGGAACATACCCATAGTCTGTCATTCTCTGTAGCCTATGCACAGAGGTGGCATAATTTTACCTGCCAGGTAGAAGTGAAAGATCTTATTACTCCCACCTGTCAGAGCACCAGATCACTTCTCAGCTGACCTGACACACTTCCAACAAAGCTGTAACAGTGTCATGAAAGAAAAATAAAAACTCCTGTTCCTATACCTATCAAAGATAATTAGTCCCTTCTTACATCAGCCAACAAGCTAAAAAAAAAAAAAAGTAAAATAAAATAAAAAATAAAAACCACACATATAAAAAAATGAAAGTATCTTGCTATTAACATTTAGACCTCAGGACACCCACTGTACTTATATTCTAGAAGTAATGGTTCCCGTCTGAGCTTTCAATTTAACTCAGGGCTCCCTTACTTGAGGGACCTGGAAAGACCTATTATTCTCAAAGTTTTCCCCAACTTCCCCAACTCAGGTTATGTTAATTGCACTGATGGCAGAACTGCTTTCTGGTTCTTGATAATTCAGGGACAACAACATCTGGGAGAATGACCAGATCATTCAATGAACCTAACCAAGGGCTACAAGTCAGAGTCCATCCTGGCCACACGGCACTCCTCTAGGAACAGCATACCACCCACATAAAGAGCTCACCCAGGAGAGACGCAGCAAAAATTTGCAGGAGATTTGACAACCATTATTTTAATAAGTGTAACAGTATATTTTTCCAATACACCATTCTGGCCCATCTGAGAACTCTGACAGGAAAAAGTTAGTATGTTTTGACCCACTGATATTCCAATGATACCTCTGGTTTGATATAAATGCCTTAAAAATTCTTCTGCAGCTATCGAAAGAATAAAGTCACCTCTCAGCTGCCCTGGTCACCCCATGTCCATCCCAACCCATCTCGTCCCCATCCCCCTTTAAACATATGCAAGGGACAAAAAATAAAGGTCAGCACTTTGCCTTATCTAAAAAGCAAACTGCTGATAGTCCTAGGAGAGAAATGAAAGTAAAATGTAGCAGGCAGTCCTGTTGTTTCTAAAACTCCGCATTCTTTACTGAAGAACCATAAAAAAGAATTTGAACAATTTCCCAGAAGTGAGCAATAACCAGGACAGATGAAACTGGTTTAAGTCCACCCACTCCATCACTGACGTCTGCCAGCAAGAGACCTGGGACGGTGGTAGACATCCCCACAACACAGAAGGCTGGAACTGAACCCTCAGAGCCCTTGATGGATCACCCCGTCCTCCTCAGTGAACAGCGACAACGCTGGTTCGGTCCAAAAAGAGGAAATGGACCCAAAGCTCAAATCTGTAGGACAATGGCCGAATAGCAGTCTCCGTAGTTTAAAGCTAAGGAATCTACTAGAAAGTAGCATCTCCCCGCGCGTCTCCGTCGACAGGCCGATTGCCCCACCACACCGCCGGGCCCCTTGCCTGTATCTGGTCAATTTCCTCTTTTTCATTCTCCGCTCACTCCTCCCCCACCAAATAGGTTCTGATTTATTTCTTCAGTCCGCAGAGCTTCTCCATCTCCAGTCCTCAGGGGCATTCCAAAATCTTGCCAAGGGGCTCTGCACTGCGAAGTTTCTCCCTTTTGCAGCCTTTCAACCCCCCTTCTCCCTCTGGCTGTGCGAAGCTGCTAACTCCCCCGGACAGGCCCACCCTCCCCAAAGGCGGCGGCGGCGGCCCCCACCCCGCTCTCACCCCCTGAGGGTCCTTGACGAAGTAGCTTCCGCTGGAGCCCTGGTAGATGCGCTCGGGGAAGATGCAGCGTTCGATGGCCAGCTCGGCCTGCCGCACCACCGCCTCGAACTCGGGGTCCTCCGGGAACTCGTTCCGCTCGCGGTGGGCCTGCGCGGCGTGCGCCGCCGCCGCCGCCTGGGCGGCCAGGGCTTGGGCCTGCGCCGCCACGGTTTGGGTCTGGCCTTGGGCCGCCGCGCCCCGAGCCCGATCCAGCAGTGGCTGCCGCTCCCGGTCGTGGCCTGGCGAGCCCGGCGGAGAGGGGGCCGGGCCAGCCGCCGCCGCCACTCGGACCGCGCCCCCCGGCACCTGCGGAAAGTGAGCGCCCGAGCCGGACGGGAAGGTGTAGTCCGGGGGTTGGGCCCGCTCGGGGGACACCAGTGGGCTCGTTTCGTCCATCCCTCAGGCCGCCGGCTGCGGGTCCCGGTACGCTCCACAGCTGAGCTCCGGGCCGGGACCAATCCGCGAAACCCCCAACCCCCGACTGGCCAACCAGGTCGCGGCACCTCGCTGGCCCCGCCCCCACCTAGCCTGTTTACTTGGCGACGAGTCGGCACGACCCCTCGCGCGCGAACGGTAACCAATCAGAACCAGCGTCTACGTAATCGCGTCCTCCGCATTTTTCGCTCGTCACCGTCTGTGAAAACTGCGCATGTTCCAAGAGCCAAACCCGGGTCAGACACGCCCCCTGCTCTTACCAGCCCAGACCCTCCCTTAGCTTCCAATTGCTGACCTGTCTGTGGGAGCTTTCAGTAAAGTAGCCTACGTAATCAGTCAGTCATTTGGTGAGTGCCTTTTATGAACCAACCAGCTATGAAACTGGAGAAATCTAATCTTCGTATCTACATTCATTCAATCATGCACTAATTCATAAAATATTTATTGAGCACCTACTATGTTCTAAGTGCTAGAAGAGACAAAAATGAAGCAAAGAAACAAAAATCCCTATCTACCTAAATAAAAAGTTTTTTAAAAATCACAGGCCCAGTGCAATTTACAGAGTCTGGCCCTGATGCTCTATGCTTCTTTGTTAATTGAAGAAAGATATGGTCTTATGTGGGGCACCTGGGTGGCTCAGTCGTTAAGTGTTTGCCTTTGGCTCAGGTCTTGATCTCAGAGTCCTGGGATCAAGCCCCACATTGGGTTCCTTGCTCAGCGGGAAGCCTGCATCTCCCTCTCCCACTCCCCCCCTTGTGTTCCTGCTCTCACTGTGTCTCTCTGTCAAATAAATAAATAAAATCTTTAAAAAAGAAAAAGAAAAGATACGGTCTTATAAGACTAGAAAGTCCCATGAGGAAGGAGTACATGACTGTTTTATTCACCACTGTAAAACCTTGGTGTAGACATGATAGGGACTCTATATTTTTTATTAGTGGGAAAGAGAAGGAAGAACTGTCCTTGCCCTCAAGAGGAAGACATATAGCTCTCTGAGGCGGCAGGAGAAAAGGAGCCAAGAATGAAAACTGAAAACTCAGAAGTTCAGCAACTTGGGGGTAGGCTAGAAAGTCAGCAAAGGCCTTAAAGGGGGCATGTGCTATGAGCTAAGTCTTAAAGGAAGAATGTAATTAGATTACTGGGGGGAAAAGGGAGAAAAGAGGGAATCAGAATCATTTGAGTTTGAACCCCATCTCTACACTTAAGCCTCTGTTTTCTCACCTGTAAAATGGGAATTATCATCCCCTCCTCAATTAAATAAGAATTAAGATAATGTCTGTAGAACACTGATATAGTGCTTGGTACATAAACAATTATCCCTCCCTTAATTAAATAAGAAGATAATGTATGTAAAACAGCACAATGGGTAGTACACTCAACAAATGGTACCACCTTTTTTTATCGTTGATGTTGTTTTTGTTTTTGTGCTTAAAATCACCAAGATTAGAGCCATGTGTTTTCACAAGAGATAATCAGCCCTATTGTAACCAATATTTCATAGTCATTCTTTCTTGAATCAAATTATTGTCACAGTACTAGAAATACTAGAAATACTGAACTGAACTGAATTGAATTGAAACAACTATTGTTTAATTTTATGTGTGAGAATGTCTTAAACATTTTTTGCCACGTAAACCATTTTAGGCAAAGATCCATACAGTTTCCTCTTCCAGTTAGAAGACATGTATTTCGCTTTCCTATCCAGACATCGAATAATTCATTAATACTTGCCTCTTGCATCCCAGGGATCACATCCACAGAGATGATCTCTTGGAATTATTCTTCTCATTTAGCCCGTAAGCTTCAAATTATTGTCAAGGAAAGCTGCAAGATTTAGAGTTCTCCCTTAAGAACTCTATGGAAGATTCTCAGAATTTATTTTTGATTCTACCCCTTAGCACTTGATTTTCCTTCTACTGAAAAAAAAGTGTCAATACATTCCCTATTACCTATGAAGAGCTAGCACTCACCAAATACTAAGCACGTGCCAGACATTGTTTCATGTCAAGTACACGGATATAACAGGATTACGTGTAAATGGCATTACAGGTCTTATGATGTTGGAAACTGAGTAAAGTAACTTGCCTATGGTCATGCAGCTGGTAAGTGGCAGGGCTGGATCCAAATCCAGGCAGACCAGCTCAATGCTTTTAACACTATATTGCCTCTTACTAAATATCTCTATAAGATGTGTTTTATATGTGATGTGGGAAGCAAAGGCAAAAGAAAAATTAAATTTCCTTACTACTTACAGCCCACTGACAAGTCCTTAAAACAGGCAAAATGACATTCCTCTAGGAACTCAGCTGTCCCAACGTTAATATTTTGCTAAGGGCAAAAGGCTTAGCTTAACATTATCCCGACAACGCCCCCCCACCCCCCGCCATCCTATAAGTTTACTTTAACATATAAACATTCCTTTAGAAACTTCCTTTATCTCTACCCCCCAAGATATCAGTTGGCAATCATCCCCCAAGCATATGACCTACCAATATACATCTGAAGGGTCTCATGACTAAGGTTTTATTAAACGGTGATAAATGACCTTTTCCTAACAACAGCTAAACCCCCTCAAAGTCTTGGAAACCCTGCTTCCATAATTCCTTAGAGATTCACGCTACCCCTTGAAAGTACATCACCGGCCGTTGCTCAGGAGCCCGGTGCCGCTCTCTCTGCCCACGGGCCCTGTCCCTGTGCTCTGTGCCCGTGCTTTAATAAAACCACCTTTTTGCACTCAATATAGCTCAGAAATTCTTTCTTGGCCATTGCCTCTGAACCCCAACATCTTTCCTAAATCGGCGTGTACCCTCTTCCTTTCCATTTTCACTGATGCCACATTACTTTTGAGACTCTCAATATGTCTTAGCTACATTATTAAAATAGCTTGTGAGTTTGTTCCTCTGCTTCCAATCTCTCTGGTTATCTCTGAGCATCACTACCAGATTAATTTTCTTAAAACGCTGGTTTCCTGGTGTCACTGCTCTGATTAAGAAACTACATTTTATATTGCAGTAAAAATGCATATTTATCATTTTAACCATTCCCAAGTGTACAGGTCAGTAACATTAAATACATTCACAATGTTGCATAACCATCACCACTGCCTATACCCAAAACATTTTAATCATCCCAACAAAAACTCTGTATCCATTAAACAATAACTTCCTCTTTCTCTAGCTCCTGGTAACTTCTACTTCTTGTGTCTATGAATTTGCCCATTCAAAACACTACATTTTGCAAACCATATCTTCCCCCTAATTTTTCAGGTTTCTCCATAACTTAACCACAGTCTATTTAACCTTATTTCATCAAATTTTCTAATATACTTTCTCTAATCTAATAAGATCTGTTTTCTTGACATGCCATTCTCTCAACAACCGTATTTATATTTATAGTCACTAGCACACAGTTTAGCATGCTTAACCATTGAGCGTCAGAGCTGGTTGAATCTTACAGGTCTGCTAGTCCAATCTCATTTTATAGGCTGGAGAACTTAATAACTTGCTTGAAGTCACACACACTTGGTGGCAGACATGGGATCTGAACACAGAATCCAAGTCCTTTTAAAACCATGTAAACTGCTGCTTATGGAGCACTTACAATGTCACAGACACAGTACTGAGCATTTTACACTGTAGTCTCACACAAGTGCTGGGGAGTCTTTATCATTATTATTATTTTCATCTTCTATTCCACAGATGAGGAAACGCCCAAATCAGAGAAGCAGTTTGTTTACTCTCTTCATGCACTTGCCTTCTTTTAATAATTAAATATAGTCTTGAATTTTTCCATGGGCATGAATCTTTTCTCCACATCTAGGCAGTAAGTCCCATGAGGGCAGCGATCATGTCTTTTCTAGCTGCATTCACATTGGCCAGTAAATAAACATGTGGTTAAAAGGAATGGCGTGCACGATATTTGGAGAATTTGCTCCAATCTTGACACTATATTTTAAACACAAAAGATCTGAGTAATGACAACAACACAAATCCTTACAATGAGTGAATGCAGAAGTGTCCGGGTATCACAGCGCTGGCATGGGGCTGACATTCATTAAACTGCGGCTGCCTGGTCCGGCATGTTACAAGTCACAAAGCTGAAACTCAAAAGCCAGGTTTGGGTTCTGTCCTTAAACTCCAGGGTGGAGCCATTTACAACTCCGCGCAGGATCCGAGCCGCTTGAGTTGGTGGTCACTGTTGTTTCTGACCCAGGTTTTGTTTTGGTTTTGTCGACATTTAGGCTAGGCTGTCTCTGAGTAGACGAGACCTAAGGTCTCTCTCTATCGGATGGCCGAGGTAGGACCGTTGGTTCAGCCCCACCCCTCTCTCCGATGTTTGACCCGAGCTCTTGAGACACTCTGCCCCGCACAAAGATGGCGCAGAGTCCGACTGGGCCAATGGAAAGTGGCGTTGCTCCCGGTTGCCTAGGTTACAGCCAATGGGCAGCGGGAATTGCGCCCAGTGCGGCCGCCCGGGATGGCGGCGTCAAGTGGGGCAGGCGTTGGTGGAGGTGTTGGGAGAGGCTGGTGGCAGGGGCGAGCCCGGCGGAGGCGCCGTCCCGGCCGCTGGAGCCCCGCGTCTGGGCGTGATTGTCATCCCGAAAGGCGGAGCTCAGGTTGGCCGGCAGCGCAGGAGGGAGGGGGCCAGGAGGGTGTGGTTGGTGAGGAAGGGACTGAGGAGCCCATCCCGAGATGACTGGCTGGGGATCGTGACTCCATCCAGGACGCGCTGACCAGAGGGCGGGGCCGGTGGGGTGCCGAGCCCGGGCCTCCGGTCTCTACCGCTGGGGCCGAGGCCAGGGAGAGCCCACGGTACCCGCTTGACGAGCGGGTGGGTGGGGGCTGCGTCCAGAAGGGATGGCAGACCAGTGTGAGCAGAGACCTGGCCCAGGCGGTAGAGCGGAGCTTGGGTAGAGGGAAAGATCGGTGCTGGGATGCAAGAACGGGGTGAGAGATCGACTAGGAAATGTTAGTTGGTCTAGGGCTTTGTTTGGCCTGGGCCCGCCTCTCACACTCTGGTGGAGCGACGTCCCACACAACGAGGCTTGGGGAATGGGATGCCTCAATTAGTGGATGGTGGCACGCCTCCTGGGTAGCATCTCCAAACTGCATAGGTATCCGCAGGAGTAGCTCGGCTTTATTAGAACTCGGTCCAGGCATTTACTTTTTCATGAAATAGGATGGCAGTCCTCAGCACCCTCAAGTCTTTTTTTTTTTTTTTTTAATCTTCTTTCTGGTGTCAGGATTTTCTTCCCACTTTCCCTAAAGTCCCATAGTCTTCCTAAATAAGACCAGTCTTCCTAAATAAGACCTTTATCTAGTAGCAAAACATTTTTTTTTTTACTTTTCGAGTTCAAGGAAGACTTATAGTAAAAAGACTTGTAGACTTATAAGAAAAACAGTTATTTCAAGCTCATTTAAAACACTTTAAAAGGAATGTGTGACTTTTTGTTCTAGGTTTCTTACAAGCCTAATTTTTGTTCACCAAAGTCTTCCTTTTCTTCTCTTTAGGATTCTAAAAGCCTAAGACTGCTTTCTTTATAATTAAGAAAACTTTGACAAGACGTTCATACTCTGGGGAGGCTTTGGAGGAACAATGTAAAGGTATATGTAGGGAAAGCTGGCTGCCTCAAAGCAATATTCTTAAAGTGAAAATCTGTTCCTCTTTATGTTAGCTTTTTTGTTGTTGTTGTTTTTAATCCTCTGAATTTGAACAGAAGACATCTTGAATGCATAAATATTTTGTAGCAAGTTTGATTTCTAAACTCTAAAAAAAGACAAATGGAATGGAAACAAAAGTTAACATTCCTGTCTCCAAGTTCTATTTGGAAATGTCTGGGTGAGGAGAAAATAAAGAGGGCAGGGATGTAGTCTGTTGTGCCGACCAATAGTATATTCAGTTCCGGGACAAAAGTAATTTTCTTTTAGATAAGTGTTTGGATTGATCCTTTGCAACCCATCTATCAAAAGAGCAGAAAGGGTGGGTATCTGTTTAAAAGCCTGAATCTTCTTGGTTTTGTGACTAGATTCCATATGTATAGCTGAAGCCTAAATTCCTAGGCTACGTGTTCTCTTTAAGAAGATTTTTTGGGTAACTGATATAAATACTGATTTGCATCCTTCTTAAAGTGTTGGGTTTTCAGTCTTCATCAGCGCCGGCTATCCTGTATTAAACTAGACTTGTCTCAATGACCATGATTTCTTTTTGGGTCAGTGGCTGTACAGCTGACAATTACTTAGCAGGCTAATTATAGAAGTCATAAATGAAAATCACTGTCCCAGGTGGTAACAGTACCAATTATTTGGACATAGGTAGAAGTTTCTAGTCAAATGTGTTCAACCATGGCCTGAGACCCATAGAGTCCACGTGTGTCCTTTAGTTAGCACTTCCGATTGTTTTCTTGGGAATGGACATCATGTTGACCAGCAACTATTGAAGGGAGTTTGCTCTGTCTCCCTAGATAAAAAAAGGAATGGAAATGGACTTTTGGAAAAACAAATGAGAGAGGAGGTGGCGGGGTTAGGTGGAGAGATGATGTTCCAGTTACTATAGCTGTATAACATTATACCCCAACCTCAGCTGCTTAAAACAACCGAGTGATGCTCACAGATTCTGTGAATCAGGAATTTGTAGAGGGCATCATGGGGATGACCTCGCTCAGCTCCATGCTACCTTAGATGGGATGCCGACTCAGTGGCTGGGAGCTAGAATCATCTGAAGGCTCCTTTGCTCACAGCTGGTGCCTGGGGTAGGCTGATTCAAAGATGAGAATTGCCAACCGGTGCACCAACACATGTGGCTCTTTGTGGCTCAACTTCCTCATAGCACAGTAGCCCCACTGTAGTTAAGGCTTCTTCTGTGGTGGCTCAGGTCTCCAAGCGCAAGCGTACCAGTGAGCAAGAGGGAAGATGCATCACCTTTTCTGATCTGACCTCAGAACACATCATCTATTCCATCGTGTTCTATCGGTTGAAGCAATCACAAGCCTGCCCCGATTCAAAGAAGAGGAGTTAGACTCCACCTTTTGATGGGGCAGTGGCAAGGTCAAATTATAGAACGCGTAATACAGGAGATACTACTGCAAGTGTCTTTGGAAATTACAATCTGCCACATTTGGTAATTAGAGGATGATCTTTTCAGGTTCATTGACATCTTTAAAAACTTTAGGATCTATTCCCTCAGAGCTAACAGCATACCAAGAGTGGCTAGTTTTACAATTTGAGGGGCCGAATAGTACTTTGTCCAAAGATAGTCTTCAAACTGGAGAAACGCCATTCCCTTTCTTTCAGGGACCTTCTGTTGCTCCCTCTGAAACAAGTGGGATGCCACTATGTGGAAGTTTCACATAGCCTTAAGAAAAAGTAAACAGATGCTGGAGTCTGCTGCCCCTGAGCCCCTGGGCAGTCAGACTGACTCCTCACGAGGCACCGCAGTAACTCCTTCCAGACCTCGGAGTGAAGACAAGTTTACAGCTGCCAGACATCAAAAGGAAATGCCCTTATCTTATCATCTCCCTGCATAAATCATGATTCTGTATTTATGTTTCGGAATCGTTGTTTAGTGATAAGATTTATTATAAGATACGGCCTTTAAGATTCTGACTTGTTTTGAAGGAATGAAATATTTCAGATTTGTTCCATAAGCTGACTTTTAGTATGCCGACTTCATTAGTTCTGGAAAGAGCTGAAGACGGCCTATAGTTGTCAAAGCCTTTCTGGACTGGAAAGAGTTTTCCTCTGCAGTTTCGATGGAAAACTGCTTCTCTTCCCCTCATTAATGTTGTATTTGCAGTGGAGTCATGCTGACCTCTACCCCAGGCACACTGATCCTGGGCTGACAACAAGAGGCTTGAGCCTGAACTTGGATGCTGACCTTGTGGAACATTGGTGGAGCAGAGATGGCACACCAGGTACCAGCGTCTCCCATCAGAGAACACAGCCCCAGAGCTTTCCAGGGGCTTTAAGACAAGAAGAAAATGATCCCTGCCTCGGGACATCTTCTGCTATGTGAGAGAGCCTGGGCATGGAGCTCCCGAGTAGCAACAGCGAGAAAATCCCTGGTGGAGCTGTGGGAGGGGCTCCCAGACATCACTGGAAGAGCTTCCCAAGCTGGCCTCATTATGGGGGTAGAAATGAATGTTGCTCCCTGTTTGGGTGAGAGCCAGGGATTCTCAGGACTCATCTGTCCTCATAGCTGGGAGGAAATGAGAGCTTTGAGACAGGGCCAGGACCCAGAAGATGTGATTGAGCCCCGCTCTGTTCAGGCCCAGATGTTTGCACATCAGATCATTTCTGGGCTCACGGCATCTATATCCAAAAGCATCATGACATAGGCCAAAATTAAAATATTCCATGGGATGGCCATAAAAAACAGACAAGTGGCAATTGTAGTTTACTTTCTCTCACCTTAGAATTTACCTCAGGCAAAATTGCTGATTTTTTTTCCAAATGTTATTTGAATCATATTGGTAGCATTTTTATACTGAGACTTTAGAGAAATTTCCATTACAGTAAGTGAATGTGTGAGTTGAGGTGTCTATTTTGGAAGGAGGAAAAGAATAATATTTAAGGGACAGGGCCTGGTGGTGTTCTAGGTACTTTCATGTACTTATTTAATTTATTTTTTAAGATTTTATTTATTTATCTGAGAGAGAGAACAAGCAGAGGGAGAGGGAGAAGCAGGCTTCCCACTGAACAGGGAGCCCGAAGTGGGGCTTGATCCCAGGACCCTGAGATCATGACCAGAGCCAAGGCAGACACTTAACCGACTGAGCGATCCAGGCACCCCAGTGTATCTTATTTAATTTAAACCATGCCAATTCTCTGAAGTAGGTATATTTTCTGCACTTTACAGGGCAGGAGACCAAGATTTAGAGGCATTTAAGTAACCTTCCCGAAGTTACACAGTGCACCGGGATGGGAGCCTCGGTGTTGGCGCTCCTGGGCCCACATGCCACTGTATTACACTGGGAGGCACGTGGGATAGGAAGACAGGATGGGGTTTAGGAGCATGGGCCCCAGAGGCCGACCCCCAAGTCTCTGCTTCTAACTTGCACATGTTAGCTAGGGTACCTTGGCGAACTTACTTACCCTCTCTACCCCTCAGTTCCCTCATCCGTAAAGTGGAAATGATAGTACTACCCACCTCATAAAGTTGTGAGCTGAAATTAGATTACGTATTTCAAAAGCACTGATAGCACACAGGAAGGAGTCCATTCCTGTTAGTTGCTGTTGTAAAGATATTTCAAATAGCTTCTCTGGGGTTAGCTCAGTTGATTCCAGAGGGTTGTGTTGGCTGACCTGGAGTATAAATAACCCAGCCCCGTCTACCATCACAATTTGGAGAATACAAACTAATGTACATCTTGTTTTAGTTGAACATTTAAAGCATCATTTTAGTATCAAATGTGCCAGATCCCTCTTGTACCAAGGAACCTACTCTCTGTAAGCCCATCTTGATGTTCCATAATGGAAACAGCAATACAACCGTTAACACTGTGTGTGATTTGGGCTTCTCTGGGACTTGAAGAAAGCTGGCTGTTGGCATCAGGCCGCAGGGATTTAAAAATCCACTCCTGTTTGGTCCTCCAGGCCTGGCCCCCATGCTCTGAAGAAGAGGTGCACTTGTCCTATTGGAACTCAATCAGATGCTTGAGGGTTAGACTCTAGGTTCATTTTTTTTAAAGGTTTTATTTATTTATTTGAGAGAGAGAGAGTGCACAAGGGAGTGGGGAGGGGCAGAGGGAGAGGGAGAAGCAGACTCCCGGATGAGCAGGGAGCCCAGATGCAGGGTTCCATCCCAGGACCCTGGGATCATGACCTGAGCCAAAAGCAGACACTTAACCGACTGAGCCACCTAGTCACCCCTCTAGGTTCATTTTTTTTTAAAGATTTTAGTTACTTGGGGTGCCTGGGTGACTCAGTCGTTAAGCATCTGCCTTTGGCTCAGGTCATGATCCTGGGGTCCTGGGATCGAGCCCCACATTGGGCTCCCTGCTCAGCAGGAAGCCTGCTTCTCCCTCTCCCACTCCCCCTGCTTGTGTCCCCTCTCTCGCTGTGTCTCTCTCTGTCAAATAAATAAAAAATCTTTTAGAAATAGTGATAGAGAGAGAGAGTGAGTGAGCGGATGAGCAGGGGGGAGGGGAGAGAAGCAGGCTCCCTGCTGCAGGGAGCCCGATGCGGGGCTCGATCCCGGGACCCTGGGATCATGACCTGAGCTGAAGGCAGATGTTTAACCCACTGAGCCACCCAGGCGCCCCCCTTTAGGTTCATTATTAATAACAGGGGACCTTTCAATAGTGATTTATAGATCAGAGAACTTTCACACATAGTTTATCTGTTTATTGGAGTAGTAGCCCCCACACTTTCAAATGTGTAGCAATCCAACGATGTGCTTTTTAAAACTGCAGATTCCCCGGCTCTAACTTACAGAATCTGATTCAGTAGATCTGGGTGTGGGCCTAGGACTCTGCATTGTCACAGTCACTTGCAAAAATGTATTGCTTAGATCTGGGAAAGATGAAGAGATGAGTAAACAGACCTGGAAATTAAATAAGAAGTAGGGATTGCACTTGTAAAAATATGTCAAATGCTTGTTTGTCTCTGTTCATATTTAATGATATTTTAGGTATCTTAACCCCCTTCTTATAGGATATCTTTTTTTTTTATTAAAGATTTTATTTATTTGACAGAGAGACACAGCGAGAGAGGGAACACAAGCAGGGGGAGTGGGAGAGGGAGAAGCAGGCTTCCCGCTGAGCAGGGGCCCCGATGCGGGGCTCGATCCCAGGACCCTGGGATCATGACCTGAGCCGAAGGCAGACGCTTAACGACTGAGCCACCCAGGCACCCCTAGGATATCTTTGAATACAAGCATTCTTTTACTGCACACGTGAAGCCATACCTAGCCAGTCTCCAAATGTTACTGGGTTGTTTGTTTTTCTATAATATCTCTGTCACAGCCACTCCTTCCTTCTGCTCCCATTACACTGTTATCCCCTTAGTTCAGGCCTTACGATCTCGTACCTGGGTCTGTCAGTTAGCTTTTGCTGGGTAATAACACACCACCTCAAAACAAAGTGGCTTAAAACAACCACCATGTATTTAGTCCGTCATTCTGTGTGTCAGTAATTTGGACCTGGGCTCAGGAGCAGCTCTGCTGGTCATACCGGAGCTCACCCATGCATCTGTGGGCAGTTGGGAGAGCAGCTCTACATGACCCCTTGTCACCAGCCAACTCGCCCGGGCTTGTCCACATGGGGGCAGGATAGTTCCAAGTGCAGTGAGAGGGCAAGCCCCGTGTGGACGAGCACTTTCCAAACCTCTACCCACCCAGACCGAGTGGGTGGAGGAATAAAGTGCCTGTTAATGGAGGTGTTGCCATGTCACATCACAAGGGCACAAGCAGAGGGAGAGCAATTTGTGCTCATTTTCACAGTCTCCTGAATGATCACATCTCCTGCCTTGCAAGCTTTTCTGGCTGTGGGCTCTGCTGCTCCAAAGCATCCTGTTTCCTGCTGCCACGTTCATTTCCCGTAAGCACTGCTTTCATATTTTGTGCCTGTTCATAAGCTCCCAGAGCTTTCGTCTTTCCCCTGCCTTATTAGCTGTAAACTCTTCTGCCTAGCTTTCCAAGGTCTCCTTAGAGTAGCCGGACCTGAAAAGCAGAGCGTGCAATACAAGAGAAAAAGAACTAGCAGCAGTCAGAGGAGGCTGGGACACTAGTCCAGCCCGGCCACAGACTAGCTCTTCACTTCTCTTTCTCCATCTATGAAATGACGGAGTTTGGATTTAAATCTGAGAGGTCTTTTTTCAGATTTCAGATTTCCTCTGAGTACCTAGACAAACTTAATTCCTATTACTCCTTAAATAAACCTTCCACTGCAGTAAAACCCAGCTTATTAGTTTCCCACTGAACATCCAGCTTACATAGCTCTTTGTGCTTTCATTCCCCAGGTTTTCTCCATGGGCAACTGCCCTTTGCTTTCTTGGCTGCTTGTTTTCAGTTGTGCCCAGCCCTTGTCTCTCCGTTCATCTCTGCCATCCAGTTTGGCACTTAATGACATTATCTCTCATATTGTTCTGTTTCAGTTATTAGTCTTACCAGCTAGACTGTAAACTCATTGAAGGAAGAGACTGTATTTTATACATCAACTAAACACATAGTAGCTATCAAGCAAATTTATTTGTAGATTAATCCTCAATTTCTATCCCAGGTCATAGATAATAGGAACTAGCTGATAACTTTTTTTTTAAGATTTTATTTATTTATTTGAGAGAGATAGAAACAACATGAGTTGCGGGGGGGCGGGCAGAGGGAGAGAGAGAATCCCAAGCAGACTCTGTGCTGAGCGATCACAAGACCCTGAGATCACGACCTGGGCTAAAACCAAGAGTCGGACACTTAACCGACTGTGCCACCCAGGTACCCCAGGCTGATAACTTTTAAAACCAGTAGGAGGATAAGACTGCTTGAGCAGAGGTGGTGATGATGAGGGTGGGGGTGGGGGGAGAAGTGGGTATGTTTGTTAAATGTATCCAAGGTACTATATACTTACTGGGCCGGTTAGTTGATAGAATGTATCTGCAAAATTGGTTTGCAAGCCTTTCCTCCAGCCATCCTGTGACTCTGGTTCTCACCCCTGTTTCCTGCAGTCATTATCCTTTTCTTCCGTACGCTGTCACCATGACCCTGACAAAAGGTTCCTTCACCTACTCCAGTGGGGAAGAATATCGAGGCGAGTGGAAGGAAGGTGAGAGCATCCCTCCCTCCCCCCCCCCGGGGATCAAGTGATGAACACTTCATTTGGCTGTAGGACAGATACATCAGGCTATAGAAGTCAACTGGATGAGTCTTCATGTCTAATTCCAGGATTTAATCTGAATAGTAATAGTGCCTTTCCTTTTCTTTGATTTTAGGATTAAATAAAGGAATTAGAAAATGCCATTGGTTGCCCAGTCTCCAGCAATGAGTTAAATCTTTCTGCTTCGGAATATAAAGTGTCTTAACATCTTTTTATCCTTTTGTGTTATTATTTGGGAATTGTTTTTATAAATACTCATGTACCAGGGAGAGTAAAATGAATTATTTTGAGTGCCTACAAACTAGAAAGTACAGAATTCATTGCAATGACTTGGTTCCGATGAATTTAAAAAGTTAAGGAAGATCTGGAAATTAGGACAGATAGGTACTCAAGAGCAAATGACAGTCATTGCCTTGAATTTCCTGTGACAGCTCATTGCATTTGGAAGTATCTAGTCACAGGATTGGTGAAATTCTTCAGAGCCTGAGAAACACAGTCTGACCACTTAAAAGCCTCGTGGGGCCAATCCTAGCAAGCCACAAACTGCCCCGAGGAGCCTTGACTTCCTACCGTTGTGCCAGTGAAGAGAAGTTTAGACCATTTCGACATTCACCCCATTCTTTTCACGTTAGATCCCTACAGCTCATGAATTCTTGAGCCCTGAGAGGAGAAACTGGGCAGATGGGATATGACCTTGCTCGGTACCTCCCCTGCCTTTCTCCTGCCTCCCCAACACCTGCTGTCCCCTCAAATCTGGCCCATTAGAGGTGCCATTCTGCCAGGCGGTCTCTATCCCCGGGAAGAACTCCCTCATACTCTGTTAGAAAGATGTGATTGCTCCTCCCGCATCTTGCTGTTTTCTGGTCAGTTCAATGGGTAAGCACAGCCCTACTGATGGAACAAAGCCCGAATCAGTGTTGACAGTCAGCCGGTTAGGTTTGCTCCCTAGCTTCACAGTGCCGTGTAGCACTGTTTTCTCGCAGAGAGGCAACAGAAGTAAGTGGTGAGGGCTGTCCGGCCAGGATGCCTGCTGCATTTTTCATTCTTGCTCTGCCATTCAACAGCTCTGTGGTCGTGAGTAAGTGATTTAGCTTCTCCTAGCCTTGCTTTCTGCATCTGTGAAATGGGAATAATAATAGTACTGTGCCTACCTCTTAACGTCATGAGGATTAGATAGGATGATAAATACTGTGCTCAGAAGAGTGCCTAACACATAGTGAAGGCGCTCTGGTAGCTAGTGTTATTTTTCAGCGCTCTCTTACTCATACCAAGAGAGACCTGCTCCACATCTGATGCTTGTGACAAGGTGGGAAGGTCCCAGGAGCCAGATTTTCCTGGTGCCTGACTCTGGGTAGTAGTTCTCTGCCCAGCTAACATCACTGCTTCTCTTCTTTGCTTTGTGCATCAGGTGACGAAAGACAAGGGATGTTAGGCAGCGGGGGGTCCCTGAAGCTGCCCCATCCCAACCTGACAACCGTCTCTCTCTTTGCTCAGGCCGCAGACATGGTTTTGGTCAACTGTTGTTTGCAGATGGTGGCATCTACCTGGGTCATTTTGAGAATGGGCTCTTTAATGGCTTCGGGGTACTGACCTTCTCCGATGGCTCAAGGTAAGTCCTGGGTCATTCCTTTCTCAGCTTTGATAGTGATTAAATAGCTGGTCAGACCTGAGCTTGGCCCAGGCCCTCTGAAAACAGGCAAGAAGTAAGCAGTTCTTTTATTAGTTACTTTATAAATAGTTCTAAAATTTGAAATGGCAAGGAGCCGAGTGACCTTCCACCCGACTGCCATTCTCTTGTGTTACCTCCTTGAGATTAGAGCCCCATATCACACATGCTCTCTGGCCCTCCTCTGCCAGTTGGGAATGGAGTGTATGGGGGCAGGGATTCTGACACAAGCAGAATCCGCTCAGCGCCTTGGCGTTAATAAGTAACACTCACTGGTAGCTGCTTCACAGTGAATCTCCATAGCTCACTACCCACCCTGCCTCTCCCATCTCATGTTTCTGCAGGTATGAGGGGGAGTTCGCCCAGGGCAAGTTTAACGGCGTCGGAGTCTTCATTCGACATGACAACATGACATTTGAAGGGGAATTTAAAAATGGCCGAGTAGACGGTTTTGGTAAGTCACGGCCCCGCAGGACGGGCGACCGGGGGGAGCATACTGCGGGGGGAGTACACCTGGTTAGCTTGGATGCTTTCGGGGATGTCTACCAATCCCTAGCGACCAGGCTCTGACGCTGGTCTGTTGAACTTACCCGTCCAGTGCTCCCGCTCTCAGGAGTAAAGCTGCAGGTTTTCCTTCCTGCCGCTCCGTGGTACCAAGCTGCTTTCTGAGTCACGCACGCCCTTGTCAGTCCCATATTTCCTCTGTCCCCCTCAAAGGCCTGCTGACCTTCCCTGATGGTTCTCATGGAATACCCCGCAACGAAGGTCTGTTTGAGAACAACAAGCTGCTGCGGCGTGAGAAGTGCTCCGCGGTCGTGCAGCGGGCCCAGAGTGCCTCCAAGTCGGCCAGAAATCTCACTGCCTGACGGGCATCGTGCACCCGCTCCCAGGCACAGGCCAAAGCGCAGGCCCCGTGACGCCCTCGAGGCGAATCCATGAACCAGATGGGAGAGGAGATGAGAATGCCAACGGAGCAGAGGCCCGGAGACATGCCCCCTCACCTGCCCGGTGGGGATTCAGTGACGAAAGTCGTGAGGATTCTGGCCCCCCGGCCCACAGCAGGGTCACCAGTTCTGTCTCTGCCTCTCTCCCTAGTTGGTATTCTGTGTCCCTAACGCCTCGGGTCGCCCAGTGCAGACCTGCTTCTACTCGATTTCCTGCCGACGGAGGCAGAATCTCTTCATTCTGCCTGTACTGGGGGCAGATGATCCTGGTCCCACGTTAGGGCTAGTGCTTTGTGCTACCCTGGAGAAACAAGGAGAAACATAGGGGTGGCTTAGACAGCTCCGCAGTCCTGTGAAAGTCAAAGCCAGAGCGTTTCCTTGTGTCACCCCCTCATTGGCTGCTGGTTGGCTTCATGGCTCCAGGCCTTCCACTTTGTCCCCCCAAGCTGGTATTTGTGTCTGCTTGTCCCCCTGTGAAGGGTACGGTAAGAGTGCGATTTCCCTCTCCCCTGACTGTACAAGCTGTCTTCCTTACCTGAGTTCCAGCAGCTAATTTGTGCCCCTTTTGTGCCTCTCTCCTTCCTTAGACACGGGACAGGATCCCTTTTGGGGAACAGTCAAGAAACTGAGACGAGGAGTCATCTCATAACGTGTATTTGTTACTTACTCTGGGGCAGAGGACAGGCATCTCTGGGCCACTTAAGGCCCTACCGTGGAGTAATTGAATTCTTAGGGGTGGCTTGGGCTGACACAGCCCCTTCCCAGCAGACCTGTAGGTCAGACCCACCTTAACCCCTTGGAGCTTGGGGAGAATTGGACCCATCCTAGGACCGAAGTGAACCAAAAGAGAGTTTGGCTTCTTACATTTGGTTTCCTATTAACTCTTCCACCACAAGCTTAGCCTTCAGGCCTGGGGGTCAGATCTGGACGGTTAGGATCCCTGCATAGTTCATCATGGAGGCCTCCAGTTATCCCAGAACCCAGACATGCCCACTCCACTCCCAGCCCCTTATCCTCACACTGAATGTCTCCTCAACAGCAGATTGTGGTGGAGATTATAGCCGTGTGCCTCTGTTCTCTGAGTTGTACTGTAGAAACAAGTGTTTATGGGGAATAAACAAATCACCAGAACTGCCTATACTTCGTTGACTCTTGCTCTGCATCCTCATCATGGATCAACCCATTTGGTGTTTCCAAAAGTTCATCACAGATGGGGGCTTGGAACTGACACTGCACACTTTACTACATAGTACCTAATTCTCAAAACCTCTGTAAGGCAGGAGTTTTTTTTTCTTTTAAATCAGACAGGCTCAGGTTGCCCAAACTAGGAAGTGGCAGAGTTGGGTGGGATTTGTATCCTGGTTTTTCTGATTCCAAATCACTTGCCACTGTACTTCTTTTGTCCTGAGTGTCCAGAGTGCCCACATCCTGAGACCAGTTATTGTCACACCTGCTAGGTAACCTTGGGCAAGTCAACTCCTGCCTGGGTTTCCCTTTTTCTGCAACAGTACCTCCCCAACTGAGTTAATGTGCAGTGTTCACCTGCCACGCTAACCCCTTCACATGCGTGATCTTATGGAGCCCTGAGAGAAAGGAACTGTTACTATCCCCAAATTACAGATTGGATCGGGCACTTAAGTAGTGCCCAAGGTCCCATCGTCCCTAAGGGGCAGATCTAAGAACTTAAACCCAGGCCTGCTTAATTTAAGCCCAGAGGCTGAGTACTTGACCAGTACACTGACCAGCCTCCCGAGCCCTAAATTCTGCCCCGTCACTAAGCTGGATTCTCCTCTGAGCCCAGATCTGGACGTTGCCTTGTGAGAAGAGCCCAAGTGCTAAGCCCCAAGATTCAGTACCATCCAGATGGCCAATTTCAGTTGAAGATTGATACCTTTTATAGTCTCTCCTCTAGGCTTTGCCCTAAACAAGGATCTCTTTACCTTTCTTTTTAGCCAGAGTAATTTTTAAAACATTCATCTCTGGTTTACTGCCACTAGTCAAGTATCACTGAATAAGGTTAAACATTTTTTGAGAAAGCAGCCTTTTTGGTTAATGTGCTGAAGTGTTTCTAAATATCTCAGTTGAAACTTTTTGCCTCCTACCTCCCATTCGGAACTTCAACAAGCCTTTCCCCTAGGCCACCACTGATCTAATACCTCGTTTGCTGTGGACTCTTAGGGCCTCCCAGAGCTAGGAGAAAGCAGACCTTGAAGGTTAAATTGCCTCTAGGAAGGTTCTTGACATCTAGGCAGGAAACCTGAGACCTACATGGCAACGAGGTGTCAATTTGTACATGGCCACACCGTTTTCACTTATTCAACTTTATTGCAAGAACAAAGTATTATTTTTAACAATGAAAGCACAGTGCCTAAGGCAAGAGGATGGCCCGGTCTTAGACCAAGTCTCCTTCCCTAATGTTTCAGACCTAGGTTGGCTAGAAGTCTCCTAGAATGTAACATTTATCCACCAGGGGTCATTATTTACCAACTCTGGCAAGCCCCTGGGTCAGCTCGTGCTCTCTACGGTTGAGGTCAACGCAAGAGATGAGAATATGAGAGGATCAAAATGGATTTAGGAAAGGGCACTGTGTCTGGAATGCAGCTTGGGGGCCTTTCAGAGGCCAGTGACACTTCTGATTAGGTTTCCGAACCCACCACTTTCCCTGGAAGGAGTCAGGTTCTTAAGAATAGCTCTGGCTCCCCGCTGCACTGTGCTGGGCTCAGGTGTGTCCAGCCAAGTCTAAGCAGCCGTCCCATCAGTAAAATACATGATGTTACTTGTGCCCAGTACGCCCCTGCTCTTGCCCTCTGGTTCCTGGTCACGTCCCAGGGCACAGGAAGGCACAGTGGAAGGACAAGCAATTGCTCCTTCCCAGACTGAGGGTCTCTAGAGAGCAGAGTTTAGGGTACAAATGCCAGCAGTCATGGGGCTGTGAGACTAGGAAATGAGGATGCATGGCAGAGCCTGGAAGAGGCCACCTAGAGGACTCAAGTAGGGAAACAGGCTTTGAAGGCTCGTACCCCCATGTGCCTCTTTAGCTGCAGGCACAAGGCAGGAAGCAGAGATGGGCACGGGTCCTCCCCTTGCCCTCAGAGCCAGCCATTACTGCTGAAATCCATACGCAGCGCCTCCTCGTCTGTGGGGCTAAGCTCCTGCAAGGGGGCTCGGCAGGGGCCTCCATAGTAGCCAAACCAGTCCATGGTCTTCTTCAGCCCGGGGATCCCAAAGCGCCGGGTCACCTGTGAAGCAGGGCCTGTTAGAAGAAACTGGGGAACCCCTGCATACACATGACTGGGACACAGGTGTCACTTTCAGAAAGTTAGGGTTCCTCCCCGCCTCCCCTGGTAGAGTAACTTTACCACATCGGTGACACCACGGTCAATTGGAAATTCAGACTGAGAGACCAGAAGGCAGGTCAGCAGTAGAGAATACCATGCCAACAACTCAGATTAAGGAAGGAAGTCACCTCCTTGGATTTTAGGAGAAAAATCCACCCCATTGAGGAGAAAAGTGGCATTCAGTCATCAAGCTGGGATGGGAGAAGATAGCAATGCTGTGGGTCTGCAGCCCAGTTCACAGGGACCTAGGGCCAGGGCATACCAGGCCTAAAGCTATTGTGATAACTTAAAATCATGCATGGGGTTTTATAGAAAATGAAGCATCAAGTTTCTTTGTCTTCGGCATAGCAACTGGTTATTTCATGCTGATCAGAAGTGTTAGATGAATCTTTGACTACCTAAAAACTAGGAATGTAATCATTACTTAATAAAGTTTTATTTGGAGGGAAGATAAAACCTTAGAAGTATGGGCTTCATGAAGGGTGAAATAAAAAAAGAGGTTGGTTGGGGTAAAAAAGTTGCAAGCCACTGATGAATGATTGACGACCAACTATTTACCACTAGTGGCCGGGGAATTTTTTCCTGGAATGAGTGATACGCCATCCGCCTCCTAGGCCTGGCCCCAGCCATGATGTTCTAATAACCTGGGCTTTTCACCCAAAACCAGAGTGGGGTATGAAAGACCTAGGGGAGAGGGCGCCTGGGTGGCTCAGATGGTTGGGCGTCTGCCTTCGGCTCGGGTCATGATCCCGGGGTCTTGGGATCGAGTCCCGCATCGGGCTTCCTGCTCCTTGGGAGCCTGCTTCTCCCTCTGCCTCTCTCTCTCTCTCTCTGTCTGTCTCTCATGAATAAATAAATAAAATCTAAAAAAAAAAAATCCATATGAAATCAAATTTAAAAAAAAAAAGAAAGACCTAGGGGAGAGGATGGGAATAAGAAGTACCTAGAGAACAGCCGCCTTCCACCTTAGGTGTGTGGGAACTCTGAGTTGCCCCCTCCCCAGACCCACAGAAATAATTGAATGCTTTTTGCGGTAAAGACCATGGAAAGTCCTAAATATAGCCAGGGCAGGAGGCCAGCTGGGTGGGAAGGCAGAGGAAGGACATTGTGTTCGAGCAGGGCAGGGCAATAGGGTGACATCAAGCTGCTCCTGGGGTGGCTGAGCTGACAGCCCAGGCAGCAGAAAGGTGTTCCAGGAATTCCTGAATGTGTGCCCAGAGTTGGCATATGAGGAGGCACTGAGTCAAGAGTAAGGCAGGATGGCATGCGGGGAACTAGCATGGCAGCGAGCATCCTCTCCTCCCAAGGGGCAGCCCACAGCTTCATCTGTAAAATGAGGAGATGACAACACCTACCCCATGTCACAAGAATCAAATGAGAAAAATACCACTATAAGACCAGACCCCAAGAGACCTAAAAGCTGCTCCTTTTCCTGTCCTGGTGGTATGTTTGTTCTGGAACCTTCTCTCTGCAGGTGGGTGGGCGTAGAGAGCAGAGGCCCCACCCCGGTGCGGAGGCCGGTACATACCAGACAGGCTGTGCCCTGGTGGGGCTCAGCTGAGTGGCCCTCACTTCTGCCGTTCTTGCATCCTATTAACAGGGCATCCTATCCCAGGAGAACCTCCACATCCAGGGGGACTCGTGCTTGCCTCCTCAGCTGTCCTTTCTCTAAAGCTGAGTTAATCTGCCCCTTTGAGGTAAAGATACAAGCTGTAAGAGCGATCTAGAGCCCACCACTTTACCCAAACAAAACATTACTGCTTAGCCTGGGACTATCAGCTCAGATGCAAAATTTGAGGGGATGCCAAAAAAATCAGTCATCCAGGTAAGTAATATTTAGTGCCATATTTTTTTAAAAAAATCGAAATCAATGCAAAAAAAAATCCATGATGAACAAAGTGTTAATGTTTTTAATAAAGACAGGATCTGACAGGGGCACCTGAGTGGCTCAGTCAGTTAAGCGTCTGACTTGGGCTCAGGTCATGATCCCAGGGTCCTGGGATGGGGCCCCGCGTCGGGCTCCCTGCTTGGTGGGGAACCTGCTTCTCCCTCTCCCCCTGCTGCTCTCCCTGCTTGTACTCATTCTCTCTCTCTCTCTCTCTGTCAAATAAGTAAATCTTAAAAAAAAAAAAAGACAGGATCCGACGGAACCGTGCCTTGCCGTATTATGGCCCAGAAGCAAAAGTAAGTGTGTGCCCCTATATCCATGTTCTGTGTGTTTTTTATTGGTTCATTTTTGTTTTTCTAGGAGTAGATGCAGGAAAAAATTTTTTGATGAGGTTGTTTCTATTCAAGCCAGGGAAGTAAAATTATAATAAATTATGTTTTTAATGTAGATAAGATATTTAAAACTAAAAGAATGCTGTTTTAATATACCTACTTTTTAATTTTCTAATATATTTTTTCAAATAGTTTAATGTTCTATGGGGGGCAAAAATCACCATTTAGAAAAATACTTAGAGGGGCACCTGGCTGGCTCAGTTGGTAGAGACTGCAACTCCTTTTTTTTTTTTTTTTAAGATTTCATTTATTTATTTGACAGAGAGAGAGCACAAGCAGGCGGAGCAGCAGGCAGAGGAAGAGGGAAAAGCAGGCTCCCTGCAGAGCAGGGAACCTGACCTCCCCACTGAGCAGGGAACCTGATGCGGGGCTAGATCCCAGGACCCTGGGATCAGGACCTGAGCTGAAGGCAGACGCTTAACCACTTAACCGACTGAGCCACCCAGGCGCCCCAAGCCTGCAACTCTTAATCTTGAGGTTGGAAAAAGAAAGAAAGGAAGGGAGGGAAGGAGGAAAAATACTTAGAGTTTCCACTTCCAGGAAGATGGAATGGATGTACTTTTCCCTATTCCTCCCAACAAATATAGCTAAAAATCCTTGGACATTATATAAAAACAAACATAAGGGGGCGCCTGGGTGGCTCAGTCAGTTAAGCGGCTGCCTTCGGCTCAGGTCATGATCCCAGAGTCCCAGGATCGAGCCCCACATCGGGCTCCCTGCTCAGTGGGGAGTCTGCTTCTCCCTCTGCCCTTTACCCTGCTCGTGCATGTTCTCTCTCTGTCTCAAATAAATAAATAAAATCTTAACAAACAAACAAACCTAAGACTCTGAAAGGTTGAGAGAAGGAAGACAAACTAGGGACTTCAGGACCCAAGGAACACAGCGGTGAGTTCCCTGGCCTCAACTTGAAGCTTAAGAAGCCAGCAACCTCAAAATGCCAATGGGTACAGATAATACAAGCCCCCAACAAAAGCCTGTTAACTCAAGCCAAGGACCAGGAAGGAGCAGCCTAGCAAAAATGGAAAACTTTAAGACAATCACCACTCTACTCCAGCCAGGCACCCCAGCAAAAGCTGTGGCCCCATCCCCACCCAGGCCAGCAAAGGTTGAATTGGGAGCCAGAACTTCTACACCACCCCCACACTCTAGCAGTAAAGAGTGCCCTTCACCCGCAACAATGGATGGTCTCAGCAGAGGCCCAGTGAGGAAGATCAGAGCTTACACGTCACTGCCCACACCGAAGGAGGTCACCCCCCTCCAGACATATTTGTAATGTCAGTGGTGGCCACGTGGGAAGCAGTAAGGAGGCATTCCTACCCCTTCCAGTCAGGGAGGTGTCACTAGAGGTTGGGGGCAGAGCTGTAATTTATTTTTTTATTTTAAGATTTTATTTATTTATTTGACAGACAGAGATATAGCGAGAGAGGGAACATAAGCAGAGGGAGTGAGAGAGGGAGAAGCAGACTCCTGGCTAAGCAGGGAGCCCAATGTGGGGCTCGATCCCAGGACCCTGGGACCATGACCTGAGCCGAAGGCAGACGCTTAACGATTGAGCCACCCAGGTGCCCCGAGCTGTAATTTAAAAAAACCCTCCCCAAAAGAAATCTCCAGGCCCAAATGATCTCACTGGAGAATTCTAAAAAATGGTTAAAAAATATTTAACACCAATTCTACACAGTCTCTTCCAGAAAATAGAGGAGGGAATACTTCCCAGTCAACTGATGAAGCTATTATTACCCTAAGACCAAAATCAGACAAAGGCAGCGCCAAAAAAAGGGGAAAGCTATATACTACTATCTCCTATGAATATAGACAGAAAAATCTTCAACTAAGTATTCGCAAATGGAACTCAGCAATATTGGAAAAGAGTTACACATCATGACTAAGTGGGATTTAGTCCAGGGATGCAAGTCTAGTTCAATATTAGAAAACTATCCATATAACTCAGCATATTAGCAGGCTAAAGAGGGAAAAAAAATCACACGATCATATCAATCAAGGCAGAAAAGCATTTGACAAAATACCTTCTGCAATCCCACACAGACTTGATTATTGTAGGTATATAATAAATCTTAAAACCAGGTAGACTAATTCCTCCCACTTTGTTATTTTTTTCCAAAATTGTTTTAGCTAGTTTAATTCCTTTGCCTTTCCATATAAACTTTAGAATAATTTGGTGTGGTTTTGCAGATAGACACACAGATGATGGGAGCAACAGAGAATCCAGAAATAGACCCACACAAATATGCCCAACTGATTTTTGACAAAGGTGCAAAAGTAATTCAGTGGAAGAAAGATCATCTTTTCAACAAATGGTGGGGGAGCACGTGGATATCCAGAAGCGAAAAAAAATGAACCTCCACCTAAGTCTCACACTTCATACAAAAATGCACTCAAAATAGGTCACTGACTTGTAAAACGTAAAACTAGGGGCGCCTGGGTGGTTCAGTCGTTAAGCATCTGCCTTCAGCTCAGGTCATGATCCCAGGGTCCTAGGATGGAGGCCCACATCGGGCTCCCTGCTTGGCGGAGAGCCTGCTTCTTCCTCTCCCACTCCCCCTACTTATGTTTCCTCTCTCACTGTCTCTCTCTCTCTCTGTCCAAAAAAAAAAAAAAACAAAAACAAAAACTTAAAAAAAATTTTTTTACATTAAAAAAATGTAAAACTATAAAACTTTTAGGAAAAAAAATAGGAGAAAATCCTCACAATCTAGTGCCAGGAAAAAGCCTTCTTCCACTTGATATTAAAAGCATAAATATAAATGTAAATGAAAATATTGATGAATTGGACGTCATCAAAATTAAAAACTTTTGTTCTGCAAAAGACCTGTTCAGAGAATGACAAGACAAGCTACAGATGGGGAGAAAATATTTGCAAACCACATATCTCACAAAGGACTGGTATCTAAAAGATATAAAGAATTTCCAAAACTCAAGGGTAAAAAGAAAAAATCCGGGGCCCCTGGGTGGCTCAGTTGGTTAAGCAACCTTTGGCTCAGGTCATGATCCCAGGGTCCTGGGATTGAGCCCCGCATCGGGCTCCCTGCTCAGCGGGGAATCTGCTTCTGCCTCTGCCTGCCGCTCCCCTGCTTGTGTGTTCTCTCTCTCTGACAAATGAATAAATAAAATCTTTTAAAAAATCCAGTTATAAAATAGCCAAGAGACATACACAGACATTTCATTTAAGAAGATATACATATGGCAAATAAACACAAGAAAAGACGTCCAATAGCATTAGTCATCAGAGAAATGCAAGCTAAAACCACAATGAAATGTTTCTACACACCTATCAGAATGGCTAAAATAAAAAATAGTCACAATGCCTAAAGCTGGTGAGGAGGCAGAGAATGGGTCAATCATACATTTACACTGATGTAAATGCAAAACGGCATAGCCACTCTGGAAAACAGTTGGGCAGTTTCTTAAAAAACTAAACATGCAATCATCATATGACCTACGAATTATGTATTTATCCCAGAAAAATGAAAACTTACAGTCACGAAAAAACCTGTACATGAATGTTCAGAGCAGCTTTTCATAGCCCCGAACTGGAAACGACCCAGCTGTCCTCCCACCGGTGAATGGTTACACACAGTGTGGCACGGCCACACCGTGAAACACTATTCATCAATAAAAAGAAACGGGCTATTGCTGCATGCAACAGCTCGGATGAATCTGCACAGAATTCTGCAGAGTGAAAGCAAGCCAATTTCAAAGGTTAGAGACCCAATGATCCCATTCACATAGCAGTCTTGAACTGACACAAGTATAAAAATGGTGAACAGATGTGCGGTTGCCGGAGTTAAGGAGGGGGTGGGGGCAGGAGGTGAGTAGGTGTAGTCATGAAAGCATAACATGAAGGATCCTTCTGGTGATAAAAATACTCTATATCTGGACTGTATCAAAGTCCAAATCCTGGTTGTGATATTGTACTGTAATTTTGTAGGATGTTCCCATTGGGGGAAACTGGGGAATGGGTACATGGACTCTCTCTGTATTCTTTCTTTTTTTTTTTATTTTAAGATTTTTATTTATTTATTTGAGAGAGAGAGAAAGAGAGAGTGGGAGGGCACACGCAGGGGGAGTGGCAGAAGCAGTCTCCCTGAGATCATGACCCGAGCCAAAGGCAGACGCTTAACCGGCTGAGCCACCCAGGTGCCCCTGGATTATTTTTTACAACCTCATCTGAATCTACAGTTATCTCAAAATTAAAAGTTTAATTTAAAATACACATACAGGGCGCCTGAGTGGCTCAGTTGGTTAAGCGACTGCCTTCGGCTCAGGTCATGATCCTGGAGTCCCGGGATCGAGTCCCGCATCGGACTCCCTGCTCAGCAGGGAGTCTGCTTCTCCCTCGGACCCTCCCCCCTCTCATGCTCTCTCTCTATCTCATTCTCTCTCTCAAATAAATAAATAAAATCTTTTAAAAAAATTAAAATAAAATAAAATACACATACAAATGTGTCTCTAAGAACACACATTTTCCTTCCTGCCTCAGACCCCAATATGGCTCTGCACAGCACTGCTGGGCTCTTGACAGGCATTCCATCTCGGCTCTTCTCCTTGACTTGCTCAATACAGAATTGGGGTACACCACCTGACTGCAGAAAAGATTATTAAAGACAAAACTCTCCTGGGAAGTCTGGGCTCTGAATACATCCAACCTTCTAACTCCTCCTTTATTCCCAATCATTCTGTTTTCCGGGATCTGACTCCTTATAAAGCTGATGGAAAGACCCATGATTCACTCTCCCCAGGCAGTGCATCTCTAGGTAAGGTCCCGGGATTACTTATGTCACCACAATCAGCCAGGTTGTTTGTCTCAACGCTTATTCCTGGGTCTAGAGGATTAGAATTTTAACTGGCTCCCTAAATGAATTCCAATACAACCAACAGGGCTCAACTTTGTCTGAAGTCGTGATTGGAGTTCCCACACTGGGAGGTTCTCTAAAAGGACTTTCTGAAAGGGAAGAGGCTATGTGGGGACCCCTGTGCCTGCCCTGGCTCCTGCCCCAATGAGGACACAGACACCCCCCCTCCACACACACACATGCCTTGGGGTCATTGGCTGGGAGCTCACCGCAGTGTTTGGCTCAATGAGGCGGTGCTGCAGTTTCTGGGCATCTTCCCATTGCCCCGTGAGGCAGAGTCGCTCCAGCTGGCACACCTGGGCCCCCAGGACATTGGCCAGGGCACACACGCCCCCCACAGCTCCTGCCCCAGAGTAAGATGCAGAACATCAGCCAGAGCCTCTTCTCTCGGGCAGTTCCAAAGCCTGCGCCCCCGCACCTCTTATTCTGGGGAGAGAGGATGTGGATTTCTATGCCACTGGTTGGCCATATCCAAGGCATGCTCTGTGAGTCCAGAGTAGAGATTTCCAGAGAGAAAAGCTGCCAGCATATTTGAAGTAGAATCCCACAGGCTGAAGGTCAGGGAACAGAGCCTGAAGGCTAACTTAAGGACAGTTCCTTCCCTGCACCCCCAAACACACCTCCCAGAGTAAAGTCCCACCTGCCAGTTGACACTTCCACGATCCCCTAATAGCCCCCTGACTCATCAGTCCGGGAAGGGGGTGGAGTGAGCAGGAAGACCTTGTTCTTCTGAAATCTTATCTCCCCCCGCCTCCTGGTGAATTTGGCCTGGGACGGCGCTGGCAGGGGGGGTGGAAAGAGCCCTGGACACAGTCGGGAGACCAGACATTTCCTCCCACTGGCAGCGTGAACTTGCCCAAGCCCTAGACCTCCCGGTCCTCTTTGTTCTCATCTGGGCAATGAAAACGGGCTGGCTGTGATCTTGGGGGGCCTTGCCACTCTGCCAGCCTATGATGTGATTCTAAGGCTAGTTAGGGGTGACCCTAAGCACAGTGGCCTCAAGATGGAGAGTGGGAAATTTGGAATGAGCTAATATAGCTGCCATTTATGGATCCCCACTCTGTGCCAGGAACTAGCAGACAACATGGCCACATTCTCACACGTTCTCACAACACCTCCCTGCTTTACAGAGTAGAAGCTCAGGCCCAGCGAGGTTGAATACCCTGCCTGGCAGTAAGTACTCCCCACTCCCCCGCCCCACCTCCAGAGCCTGTGCTCTTTCCACCTGCCCCACCCTCGGGAACAAGGCTTCAGTGGGTCCCCTCTTCTACCCTTGCACTTTAGAGACTGTGACGTGGCAGAGGAGAGATGTGCAAGGACCCAGGCAGCAAGCCGAAGTCTGTGGACACCAGAGGCCAGGAACCAGCATTGCCCCCTCAGCACCGGACAAGTAACGCAGATCTGGCCTTGCTGCGGCTTCAGCCAAAGGGAGCAGATGCTTCCCCTCTTCCCCGATCCAGGGCTCAAATCCAACCTGAACCCAAGGAGCCCGACACACAACAGACCGGCATGGTTGGTTTAACGGTGATGTTCCTAGGATCCTAGACTGGAACAGAATCAGGCAGCTGAAGCTCCCTGGTCCAACCCTATAGGTCTGACAGTTCCTTCTGGCCTGGCACCAGGAGGAGGGGAAAACAGACTCCTGGACCAGAAGGAAGGCCCCAAGGCCTCTATCCTCAGAGAATGATTTACAGGGTGAGACTAGAGGGGCTAAATTTGTTAACCAAGCAGGGAGCTCGGGACTTAGAACAAACTTCGGGCATCCCTGCTACAGCCCAAGGATTATACACAGCCACCCTCTTCTGCCCGGAAAGGTCACTTGGAAGCACCCAGCATTCAGACAAGCGAGCAGCGTGCTGCACTCTGAGGTTTCCAAGCAGGCAGGCTGGCAAAAGGACCCTGCAGACCGGGCCCCAGCCCTCAGCGGGGGGCGCCTGGCTGTACCACCCACGACAGCGTGAGTGCAGCAGGAGGCCTACCCACGGCGTAGCTGGCCAGCAGGAAGCCAGCCGATCCAGCCAACACCTGGAAATCCTGCCTCCGGGTCTTGTGAACCATCAGCCCCATCCTGGTCACCTGCAACAGCAAACCTGCGTGAGAACCGTGCCCAGAGCTCCAACACCAAGCGAGATGGGGGCTGGGGAGGGCGGGGATGAGCGCCCCAGCCCCAGAGAGCCCACACAACAGCAAGACCCCAAGAGGAGCCCAGGACTGAAGCGGGTCCCAGAGCCACCCCGAAGTTGATGGCCCGGGGCACGAGGAAGGAGCCCCAGCCGGGAGCCGCTGCCACTCACGTCACCGCCACTGTCCTTGATGCCCACGATGTTCGGGTGCTGGGAGAGCGTGACCACTGCATCCACGGGCAGGGCTAGCCCCGTGTTGGCTGGGACGCTGTAGAGCACCACAGGGACTGGGGAAAGGTCAGCGACCTGAGGGAGGCAGAGAAGAGAGGAGAGGCAGTGGGGCCCCATGGAGTGTGAGGCACTGCCCACCACCGCCAGCTCTGGGCCTGGGGCCCTGGCGCCGCCTGGACACGCCCACCTCCTGCACTAGGGGGTCACAGTGCCATGTTCCCTGCTTGTAAGCGATAATAATAATATTTCATGAGCACTTTCTATGTGCCAGGCTCAGCTCTAAGTCCTCTGCATTTCAATGGAACTCGGTCCTCACAAGGACCCCGTGAGGAAGACCGGGTCATTCCTCCCATCCGAGAGGTGAGGAAACGGCCACACAGTGTGGTTGGCCAGTGGCCCAGCGGCAGCCCTCCCTGTCCCCACGGCTGCCATTCACGGGAAGGAAGCTCCGCCCTCGACCCCCAGCTGCCCTGTCTCTCTCCCCAGGCAGCCTCCTCTCGGTCCCAGGCCCCAACCCCATGCCCACACCCCATACCCACCTTGGTGTAGTGGTGAATGAGGGCCGCACTGCTCATGCGGCCACGATAGTAGCAAGGGGTCACCACGATGGCGGCGTCTGCCCCAACCTGGGCCATGCTCACAGTCATCTCCACAGTGGCTTGCGTGGCTATAGGAGGAAAGAGGGAGTCTTCCCTACGGGCCACGGTGGGTGAGGGCAGGAGGCCGAAGGGCAGTGCAAGCAAGGGGTTCAGAAGAGACAGAACCGGGGGACTGAACCAGCCCCAGGGCCAAGGAGCCTGGCTCCCCACTCCGAGGCCCCCCCAAGCACCCCCAGAGCCCAGAGCACTGTGGCCTCACACTCGCAGCCAGAGCCGGCTAGCAGGAGTTTGTCCTTGGGCATGGCCTGGCGGACTCGGCTCACCACCTCCAGCCGCTCGCTGCTGGTCAGGAAGGGGAACTCGCCGTTGGAGCCCTGGACCACGAAGCCTGCAAGAGAGGTCCCATCACAGCCAACGCCTTCCCATCCTCTAACAACAACCGGGACATTGCTGTTACGCGTACCCAGGTCCCTACTGCCCCAACATCATAGTTTTTCACACATTTCCTTCCCGTCTTTGTCCTGATGCAGGCAGAATGTTTTACCCAGTTGTGACGGCAGTGTCCACACCATTTTTCTTTGTGTTAATGAAATATTTTAGCTATACCCAAAAGAATCGATAATGATAGAATCCACAGGTGTGTACCCAGCACCCACAGCAACCCTCCCCTGATCACCTTTTTCTTCCTCTTCTAGCTGTCCCGACTCGGGTGTCATTGTTCCCGTTCATGTCTTTATACCCTTAAGGCATACATATTGACCCATAAACAAGATATAAGACTTTTTTTTGCCATTTTAAGCTTTATAGAAATGGAATCAAGCTCATACAAACGTCTGCGGTTTGCTATTTTTGCTCAAGATTATGTTGTGAGCTTTGTCCATAGCAGTACACAGTTCTGATTCATTTTAATTGCTATATTATATTCCATTGTGAAGTTAGACTACAATTTACTTTTCATTCTCCTTTTGGGGACATTTAGAATGTTTCCTTAGTTTTGCTCTTACAAATAATGCTGAAACAAACACATCCTATAAGGTCTTCTGTGCCCATGTCTGAGCTTCTCTACAGTCTACTTGGGTGTGTAATTGCTGAGCCCCATCCATGTGTATCTTCACGTGCCAAACGTCTGCCTCATTAACCAGTTCGTACCACATGGAAGGGTCTGTTAGTGTTCATCCATGCTAATGCTGGGTATTGTCAGAATTAATTTTTGCCAATTTTCTGGGTAAAAAGTGACATCCCATTATTTTATTTTGCATTTTCCTGTTTGACCGATCATTTGAGAGGTTTCTAACACCACCGGGTAAGGTGTCAACCCTTTTATATCACAGAATTGATGCTCTTTGGCTGAATCTGAAGGGAATGTTAGAGTAAAACCATTTTCCTCTCTGCTTCTTTTATTTCACTTTCTCTTTCCTCTTCTTCCTCCTCTCTACTCCATCCCATTCCAAAAACATTGTTCTGAAATAGTTGACAAATACAGCCTATGACACAACAAGATTATTAATAAATAGGAGACCTCTTGGGAGAAAGCAAAGCAAAGAAAGCTCGGGGGTGATACTGATGTACAAAATCCCTGCCACGCAGTTGTGAGAGATGGGCCATCACTTTGATTTGGAGCTTCCTGACAGTCAAAGCTAAAAGGGAAATGTGATCAGCTGACAGATACGCAGAACTCAAGATAAAAGCAAAGCAGCTGCACCAGAGACACACAGAGTTTCCTGGCATTGGGACCAAGAGAGACTGTTCCAGTGAGTCATCCTTAGGGGACACAGTGTGATGGAGAGTCAACTTTTCACCACAAACCTTTTTCCATGCTGTTCACGACACCACCAGATTCCATGGAGTGGATTGCCAGAATGGCTCCCTGGATACTTAGCAGTTTTCCCCCCACTGTTTTGCCTTGGTAACATTGCAGGGAGCATCTTAAGGCAAATAGTTTTTGGCTTCTGTTGTGTTGCCTCCTCAGGATCCATTTCTCCATGTCAGGCCAGGAGCCTCCTTCTGTCTTGTTACAAAAGGTGCCGGTGATTTGCCAGTGTGAGTGCCCCCATGGATGAGTCGCCAACCCCGGAGAGGACTGGACCAGCATCCTCTGCTGAGAGGTCAAGGATTCTGAGATGGAACTTTTGCCACTGCCTCTATGGAAATGCCTCCAAAGACATCTCCTTCCCTCCACAACCCTGGCTGCCACCACCGCCCTGGAAGGGGGCCAGGCCGGTTCCTGCACCAGCCACTCCTTAGCCGTGTTCACTCATCCCCAAGACCCCCTTCATTCTGGGGGCCAGTTCCAGGGGCTCCTGAGCAGCAGGACAGCTGGGTCTTGCACTCTCTGAGGGGAGGCAGGCCCCTGTGCTCAAGACTCCTGGTGGCCTCTCCGTTGTCTCAGAAAGGAGCATGTGACCCAGGCCGGAGGAAGGCAGGCCAGGCTGGGGAGGAGGGAATATCACAGAGTCGGGAAGCGGTCAGACCCAGCTCCCCTTTTGAGCAAATTACATCATGTTTCTGAGTCCCCATTTCCTTTTCTATGGGATGATAATAAAAACATTTCAATCCTACCTCATAAGGCTACTTTAAAGGCCCAAACAAGAAAATTGTGCAAGAAAGCACCTTGAAATCTGTGAACTGATGCTGCAAAGAGCCCCCTCTCTCTCCCGGGTGGGATGTCCAGTTTTAGGCCTGCTGTGCCTCCCCTGGTGTAGAGAGGGGACTAGACTAGGGAGGGGGGGCCAGGGCCCCGGACGGGTCAGGGAGTGAAGACAGCGGGCGATGGAGGAGCAGGTGGGTGGAGTGGTCGGATGCGCAGGCTCTGAACTCAGAGGAGCCTGCGTGAAACTCGGTGCAGGCCCTTATCAGCTATGAGATCTTGGGCAAATGGCTTCACCAAGCCTCAGTTTCCTCACATGAAAAATGGGGATATTAGTGTCCTCCTTAAAGAGTTGTGAGGCTTGGGGCGCCTGGGTGGCTCAGTCGTTAAGCGTCTGCCTTTGGCTCAGGTCATGGTCCCAGGGTCCTGGGATCGCGTCCCACATCAGGCTCCCTGCTCCGCAGGAAGCCTGCTTCTCCCTCCTCCACTTCCCCTGCTTGTGTTCCCTCTTTCACTGTGTCTCTCTCTGTCAAATAAATAAATAAAATCTTAAAAAAAAAAAAAAAAAAGAGTTGTGAGGCTTAAACGAGATACTACTTATAAAGTGCTTAGATTAGAACCTAGCAGTGTTAGCTGTAATTATGACAGAGTCCGGAGAAAGTGCTCAAGCCTTAAATCAGGAGGGTGGCAGCTTTCCATCTGAGGCGTAGGAGGCTGGCTGCTGTGGGAGGGGAGCCTGCTCTCAGGAACTTCTCCTGCCCCCTCCAGCTGCAAGACAACACGGCTCATCACAGAAGCTACTCTCCCTCGGCCCCACAGTTATGCTGACTGCTCTGGGGAGCCAGAGTGGCCTGGGGGAGAGGAGTGGGTCTTCAGGGCTGGGCATGCACAAGGAACATGGTGACTGACTGTGGCCCAAAGGAATCACAGTCTCTTACTGTTATGCCCCTTGACCCATCATCCTTGCCACCTCCCCTCAGAAGTCTTCCCGGGATCCCTCCACCGGACATCTCTCCTCTGAACTTCCATCTCCTGTTCCTTGTCCTTCCCTGTGGCCTACCCAAAAATATACAGAGGTTCTCCAGAACCCTTCCATCTCCCCCACCTCCACGTGCAGGATTAGGCAAAATTTCGCAAACTGGTCTCTGTTGTAAAATGAGTTAGTTGGACTGGATGCTCTTCTACGTCCTTCTGGGCTCTAAGCTTCAGAGTCATGTTTCTGGCTTTTCCTACTACCTTTCGCGCATCTCTAAATGTTTCCCTTCAGCCAAACTGTCAAGGTCCCCCAGACACAGTGTCACTACCCTGCCTCTACACCTTTGCACATGCTGTTCCCTTCTGCCTGGACCACCTTCCTCCCTGAGCTGCAGCCCCGGAGAGCCTTTCCTCACTCCCCCTGGCTTCTGCCCCTCATGGTATTTTGTCCCCCTCGCACAGCACATGGCCCTACTTTGCCAAGAATCATCAAGATCATGGACATCCCCTCCTGTTGGCCTCCTCCACGACACCCAGTATGAAGTATTTGAAATTTAAAGTGTATATATGCACACACACATGCACACACACACACACACACACACACACACACACACATTAACATTGTATAAAGTCACTTATTAGTAATTTTAAAATATATTCAAATACTGGGGAGCCTGCCTGGCTCAGTCGGTGGAGCATGTGACTCTTGATCTCAGGGTTGTGAGTTCGGGCCCCACGTTGGGTGTATAGATTACTTAAAATCTTTACAATAGATAGATGAATTCAAATACTTCCAATTATGCCCCATAAAATCAATCAACAACATTTAGGGTGTTTGTAGATTTATCCATCCTTTGGAAGGATTCTGGGCGCCTTCTCCTGGGAGGTTTGAGGCCCACAGGCTGGGAAACACTGGTAAGTTCATCACAGATGCCAATGGTACATTTCTATGTAAAGGAGCCACTGGGGGTTAGACAGTGCGGTGTAGCTGACTTCTCTCAACTTTCATGGGAGAGAAAGCTGCCTCCCTTTAACCCCCTTACTGGAGGTCCCCCCTTGCCCCAGAAACGGCTTCTTGGGACCCAGGAAGAGGCGGCAGGGGAAGTCCTGGGCTTGAGGGAGGGCACAGAGAGTCAGGACATGGGGTAAGAGGGCAGAGGTAAGCATGAGAGAGGGAGGCCCCTGGAGGGCCACTGCTAGGGGGCAGCACAAGGCAGGGACTTGGGGTCTGAGCATTGGAGTCAGCCAGAGCAGGGCTCTAACTCCACCACTTACTGTCCATGCCCTGTCCGGTGAATTACAGCTCTGAGCCTCAAGTGTCTCATCCGCAGAACGGAGGTAACGCAATACTGTCCCCATGGGACTGTGCTGTAACACTTAACACAGAACATGGCACCTACTAAAAACTGAAAAGGAAAAAAAAAAAAAAAAGACGGAGCTACTGGTCGTACTAGTAATACTACTAATTCGTAGTACCAGCAGCAGCCCCAGCCACAGTAACATAAACAGGAAGAGAGAGTATACGGCACAACAGCTCTGAAGGTAGGTGGGGAGGCATTAATGGGGATCCCAGCGGCCCCGGAAAGCAGGGGCAGGGAGAGAGCACTGCAGTGCAGGAGGCCTCACGACTCGAGCAGCAGGCGGAAGGGTGAAGATGACCCAGGAGGACAGGAGACCCGCACCCCACCTTGCTTACTAGCTTCTGAAAGCCCGTCTCTCCCCCCACCTCCCGACAACTGGCTGCTTCCTCCTTCCCTGGCCAACAGCGGGTTGGTGGGTGCTGAGCTCCCAGGAGACATCCCATCCCCAGAACCTGAGACGCAGGGAAGCTGATTTATGGAGTCTTCAATCAGCCCAGCGAAAAGCCCAAGCCAAGGGCCACACGAAGAGGACTGTGGGAGCAGGAACCCTCTCCCCGTATCCTCGCCCAGTCCTGAGGCTGGCAACAGCCCCCCAGACTCAGAATGAGGGTATACAAGGCTTTATTGGCTCAGTTCCAGGCATTTGGCGTCAGTCCGGGGCTCTCAGCTACTCCTGGGATCTGCCTCGTCTGTCTTCTCTTGGTGGGTCTTCAGGGGCCCGCGCGTGTGTCTCGGCTGCTTCCCTTCCTTCCACCTGCCCCTCCATCGGGAGCCATTCTCCGTGGCAGACCCTACTCACAGACTCAAAGGGGCCCAGGAACCCCGTGGGGGGCTGAGGAAGAAGGGTTTTGGGCGGCAGCCTCTCACCCTGGGCCACACGGGTTGCCCCACAGGAAAGAAAACAGGCCTGCACTTGTGTGCCAGCCCTGTCGGGGGAAGGGGCGTCTCCATCCATGGTTAGGTGGTGGCTTCAAAGGGGTGGTAGGTGTGTTGGCTGCGGTTGGGCAGACTGTAGCTCTGGTGGCTCAGGTGGCTCGGATAACCCTGGTGGCCGTGGTGACCGTGGCCATGGAAGGTGTGCGCGTGGTTCATGCCAGCTACCGCGGTTTCTCGCTGAGTGAGGAAATTCCCCTTCAGCTTCAACTCCACCTCCTCGAGGGCCTTCAGCTCCTCCTGGTTGATGTCTTTGGACTCCAGGTGGCCTGAGTTCTGGTAAATCGTGGCGCGCTGCAACATGGAATTAGCCAGCTGCTGTCCCAGGTTGTCAATCTCCTTGGTACAGGTAGCCACAGTGGCCCACACGGCCACATCAGTGGACGAGGATTCTCCAGACTCCCTCTGGGTCTCTTTGGTCAGCGAGGAGCCAGACAACCTCTGCTTGCTGGTGAAGGACTGCCCGTGCAGAGCTGCGCCCACCTCTCCTTGCCTGGTGGTGAAGGTCTCCGTGCGCACCGTGGTGCTGGCCTCCCCACTGCCACTCTCGGGGGCAGGGGGGGTGCTGTTGCTGGCGGCCAGCTTCTCTTCGGAAAGGCAGCTAAAGTGAGATTTAATCCAGTTCTCATTCTTTGCTTGGTGACCTTTGGGTGGCCCCTGCTCCTCCTGGGCAGGAGCAGGGGATGTCTTCCTTCTCCTCCTCCTCTGAATCCACAGCATGAGGCCTCCACCGCCGAGTAAGAGGGCAGCCCCCAGCACCACCTTGCATGATGGTTGCTGGATGAGCTCCAAGAAGGCCTCCAGGACCCTAAGCCAGGCAGGCAGAGCTAAGAGCACACTGGGAGTGGGGGAGCCCGGATGGTATGGTTCATGCTTGAAAGGGCAGGTTCCCCGAGGCTGTCTGGCTGGCAGGCCCCCAGCTGGACCCTTCCTAGGATGCCCCTCCCACCTCAGCAATGAACCCCATTGTGAGGAAGGTGGCTAGGGGGGCGGGGTGGGGAGAGGCCACAGCATCCCTCATGTCCAACCTGGCAGGCCATTTCCTGAGGCCCAAGTCCCGTCTCCCACCCTGACAGCTGTCCCCGAGGTCAGTGGAAAAGCAGCTTCCCCAATTCTGAGTCCCTTCTGCCTTCTGCTTGTGACCCATTCTGCAACCAATCTTTCTTCTTTTCCAATCTTTGGTTTCTCTCCCACTCCATCCGGTGGCCCCCAGGCGGCAGGTGCTGCCAACCACGGCTGAAAGGGGTCCCTCCATTCCAGGCATCCATTCCAGGCTGCCTGATGTCGGTGTCTCCTTTCATTCAGGGCCCACCCCTGCTGCCAGCTTGGCACATTTGCAGCCCCAACCCCTTTACGGAGCAGGGTCCAGAAGGGAAGGAGCTCATTCTAGAATGACATGAGGTCACAACTGAGAGGAGACAACAGTGGGCTGAGAAGGCAGAGCAGATAGGATAGGGGTCTTCACCAGATCCCAGATCGCAGAGGCCATTTCAGGATGGGGGCTGCTACCTCTTGCCTTAGTGACACACCTGCAAACCCAGAATTTTCCCCCCTCCCACTGAGCCCTGGTTAAATGGGCACAGTTTAGATGGTGAGCAGGTGAGCCACCTGGCCAGGCTCTCTGTAGGTACAGACAATGGAGAGCCTGGCCCACAATTCCAAATTATATCCAGAGCCTCTCAGGGTAGAAACAGGCCTGGGCCCCTCATTTTTCTCCCAGAGGCCTCTAACACATTTTTTAGAAAACACATTTCACTTTTTAAAAGTGAATGCCAAAGTAAATGCCAAAACAGGGTTGTAAAAATTGTGATTTTTTAAAATTTTTTTTATTTTTATTTTTTTAAAGATTTTATTTATTTAATTGACAGAGAGAGACAGAGAGAGAGGGAACACAAGCAGGAGGAGTGGGAGAGGGAGAAGCAGGCTTCCCGCCGAGCAGGGAGCCCGATGCGGGGCTCGATCCCAGGACCCTGGGACCATGACCGGAGCTGAAGGCAGTTGCTTAACCAACTGAGCCACCCAGGCGCCCTGTGATTTTTTTTAAACAAAATATTTTTATTTAACAAAGTAATGGCTTTAATATACACTATAATATCTTAGTCTACGTACTAAGGGAATAAGATACAAGCTCAAAGTTTTATGGGGAACATCATCTCCCTAGTCCTGCTGAAGTAGCTCTGTGGTCGTCCACTGAACTCATTTGGAAATAACAACTCAAAGTTCATCTTGGAGGTTGTTTGTGGGAGCGAGTTCAGGGCCAAATGGCCCCTCTGCAACAGTTTTACCCTCCGGTCTCTAGTTACAACTTTCATTTAAAAATGATACTCTTTATACAAATAATCAGCAAAAATTAACAATTCAAAAATAAGAAATAAAGAGAGCTACACAGTTTCAGACAATACCTTCCAGAAGAATCTCTAACTGTTCACTGATTCATCAAAGGCAGGTTCCCACCTCCTCTTTGGAGGCCCTTTAACTTATTGCAGGAGGCCGTGGCAATGTGGTATGTGATGGCTTCCTCCTCTGCCTCCGAGCGTTGGGCAGCAAAGTCAAAGCTGGGGGCCAGGATGGGGCCAGAGAAACATTGTCTGTAGAGCAAAAGTTGCTCACGGCTCCTTTCCCGGGCATTCTGGCTGTGTCCTGGGAGCAGTGACAGGACCCTATGGCTCTATTCTTTGTGCCAGGGCCTCACACTTGAGCTGCTTGGGAGGAATGCATTAACCCTGTGGCTCAATTCCATTCTAAAACGAGGAAGTCAGATTAGAGAGGTTCAGGGATTTCTCCAAGGTCGCCATAACTGGCAGAACCAGGATTCTTACCCAGCCTTCTAACTCGGGATGCTGAGCTCTTTCTACTCAGCCCACTGCCTCCCTGGTGTGTGGGTAAGAGAGACATGAGGCGGGAGGAGGACCCTGTGTGGGTCAGTGGGCACCCGTGGCCCGTGGCCTGCCAAATCCACAGCAGCCTGTGATCCCGGGCACCCCCATGTGCTCTGCAGGAGTGAATGAGCAGCTAGGAGGGAAGGAAAGGTCCAGAGAAGAGCCTGGGGGTGTTTGTGGATTCTCTGGGTGGCAGGCAGGCACTGGACGCAGAGTTCACCCTCCCCACCCCCTGCACCAGGGTGTCACTGAACCTGGAGGGTGAAGCCAAGTCTTCCTTTCTCTTAAGATTCAAGGAGCAAGGGGCGCCTGGCTGGCTCAGTCAGTGGAGCATGCGACTCTTGATCTTGCAGTCATGAGTTCAAACCCCATGCTGGGCATAGAGATTACTTAAAAAAAATTTTTTTTCATAAATAAGAATTCAAGGAGCTTCTCACTTTGCTTCAAGAGACGCAGGCCTCCGTGCAGACTCTCAGCTCCCAGCAAGCTGAGCCCGAAGAGAAATTTACTTAGAGTTTGTGTCACTGCTCACCATGGGCATCCACAGGGCATTCACTGAGCCCTAGGAAAGGGTCCCATCACCTCAACCCTGAGACGTGGATGGGGTTTGGTCAGGTCAGTAGTCAGTCACAAAGCTCTATGGCACTGTGGTCCTAGTGATTGTGACCACTGGATCCGTAACTTCTAGGGTACATCACCCTTTTCTATTCACAGCGTGCTTTCATTTGCCCTCTCTTGGATTTCTCTCCCAGCCATCGTATGATGTGGGCATCATTACTCCCAGGTGTCAGATGGGGAGACTGAGGCTCAGAGAGATGATCTCACAGCTAGGTCAGTGGCAGAGCTGTGATCTGAATCCAGAGTCCATGTTCTCAACTGCTCCACTGCCCCCCCTCAGTCAGAACCTCTCCACTCCCAGAGCTGGTGCCAACCAGACTTTGTTGAAACAGTCTGGTCTAGCAATTCAGCGGTTAGTGCTGTGGAGTGAAACCAAGCATAGCCCTGCAGTCAGACCTGGGTTCAAATCCCAGCTCAGCCATGTATTAGCAATGACCTTGGGCAAGCAACTGTGTCACTCTGAGCCCCAGCGCCCCATCTGTGAAATGGGGCTAGTGAGATTACCGCCTCGGGGAGTTGTCACAGGTGACAGACGAGGGTGGGCAGGATGGGAGGGACTGACCACTTCTTCTTCCCTCCATTTATTGTGCCTGTGGCTGTGTTGCATGTTGTCCGGTCCCTGACCTCAGCGAGGGGAGACCCATGTGTAAAGAGGGAAATGACTCAGAGGATCCAGGGAGGCTTGGCTCAGAAGAGAGTGTGCAAACAGGGCTTGTAGGGAGATGAGCCCACTGGCTGGGTTGCCACGTGACACCCCCAGCTGCCTTCACAACCGCACAGTGTTTAGCTGACAAGGACTTTCATACCCATTACCTAGGGCCTAAGAAGGCCCTCTGGTAGTTTACAGCTGGGGAAACCGAGGCCGGTGAGACTCAGTCAAGGTTGCACGCCAGCAAGGAGCTTCCTGCCTCTTGACCCCAAAGCAGTGCCCCCTGCTCCTCTCCCATAATAAAACGACTCCTGGGGTACCCAATGTCTCTGAGCAGCTCACTGGCCGAGGAGACTGGGGTCATTCACATCTCCCCCGACTCCCCGAGAGGACAGACCCCACTTACCTCGGAAGGGGAAGGTACCCAGTTTGTGCAGGTTCTCTTCCAGTTTCCCATAGTCCACCTCTGCCGTGGCAGTGAAGGGGGTGGTCACAGGGGGGTAGATACCTGCAATGTCCACCTTCCTCCCCTCCCCTGAGGCCCAGCCCCCCACATTCCTGGACAAGCCCCTGCTCAGCCCCTGCCTCACGGAGGACCAGACTCCACGGCCCAACATCTCTGCAAGAGGCCCAAGGCCCAGCTGGTCTCTGCCCCTGAGTGAGGCTGAGTTTGAACTCCTTCCTACCCTGTTAATGATCAGTGTGTCTAGTTAAAAATTTGCTGCCCCTTGACTATTGGTGCTGGGGCAGGCCTGGGCTGAGCGTCCCCAGGGTCAGAGGCTAAGCCTATAGGCCCCATGGCCTCGCTCCCCTGAGGGAACAGCTGGACAAACGCCACAACCTAGTGTCCCTCGGGCCAGGCGGGGTGGGGGGCGCGGGTTCCTGGAGTACCGACCCTACAAGGCTTCTCCACTGGGGCCCGGGCCCTCCTCCCACAATTCCCGGCCCCAAGGCCCGGAAGGCAGGCCGCGGCTGGCGGAGCCGATTGGCTGAGCCGGCCCCGCCCTGCGGGAGGGAGGCGTGGTTGTTGAGCCGCCGCGGGGAACGGCGGCCCTGCGCCCGCGCTCCGCTGCCCCGGATCCCGGGCCAGGCTCCCCCTGCGCGGGCGGGCCGCCGCGTGACCAGCCTGTGCTGGCCGCACACAGCCCTGTGGGACGGCGGTCACCAGGACGGGGGGAGGGGCAGGAGGGGTGCGCGGAGCAGCTGACCCACGCTGGTAATTTGGGAAGAGGGCTGGCAGGAAAGAAGAAGACACCTCGGTAGGAAAAGCCACAGGGCTGGGGCCAAAGGGCTCCAGGCTCCCCTCTTCCCTGAACCTACCCTGGCTCCGTTTTCCTTCTCTCCTAAACATTTCAAACACAAATAGAAACAAACATCACCAGTAGCAAAAACGACTTTTTTATTGCAGTTAGCTTGTGGGTGTCCCGGATCGTACGCAGAGGAATGGCAGGGTCCTCAGCCCTGGGGGCCGTTCTTATGACCCTCCGGCTGCATGCAGGGGACAGCCCCCGGGTGCCCAGCTGGCCTGAGGCCGGTGTTTACTGCGCTGGCACAGGCTGGGGGGGCTCCTGGCCACTCTCGGCAGGACCCTCCGGCCCGTTCTGCTCTGACCCTGGCTCGGGCTCAGGGTGCTCCAGAGCCTGCCGGGTGTCAGCTTGCCACAGCTGCACCAGGTCCGTGGGAGTCTTTCCTGCCTGGGGGAACCAAGCGGAGATCTGGTCACTGTTCAGAAGTTTGTACCAGGAGGTTCCCTCATCTAGACCAGGGGTTGCCACGAGGGGCAATTGGCAACGTCTAGAATGTTTGTGGTTGTCACAATCAGGGAGGTGGGAACTACTGGCATTTGGTGAATAGAGGCCAAGGATGCTGCTTTAACATCCTATAATGCCCAGGACAGTTCCCTCACACCAATTATCCAGCCCAAAATGTCAATAATGTCCTGGTTGAGAAACCCCCACCCACTGCCTCCCCATATCTTCCTGACTTTCCCATTATCCCCTTAGTCTTTCTCGAGTCAGGGGTGCCCTCCCATTACCCCCTCTTTCGCGATTGCTCCAGACCCCAGAGAAGAGCTCCGACTAGGGCACGTAGGACCCTGAGAGAACTCCAGGCCCACACAGTGTGCTAGGGGTGGTGGTGCCAACAAAGCACTCAGGTTCTTTCCAGCTGTGTTCCTCCATGATTTTGGCCTCCCTGGGCCTAGACATTAGGACCCCCTTTGATCTATTTGGGGGCCTTTGGGAAGCCCTCTTACTGTCCTTTCTGGCCCTTTCTCTGCACTTGCACTCTGGACAGAGATAAGCATAGAGAGAGCTGGGAAGGTGGGTGGGCCCCAAATTCCCAGGGGTCCAGAGAGACCCTCCACGGTGAGTGTGCTCCGAGGGCAGGCTGAGTCTTGCTCAGTTCTGTATTTCCTCTGAGTGCCCTAGCACAGAGCCTGGGTGAGTGGTGCCCACTAATTACTGAATCAGGGAAGCAATGAACTTACTAGGTTCTTGGTCATCATGTCAGCCCCATGCAGGAGCAGCAGTTTGATGATTTTGTAGCGGTTGAGCCTCACAGCATCATGCAGGGCACTGTCCCCTTCCTAGAGCAAATGTGACACTCAGTATGGCCCACGGGGGCATATGGGAGCCCTCAGGCTTCCTGCACCCCCAGGATGGGGCTGAACAGAAGGGAAGCTGGACACTCACTCTGTCTTTGGCATTGATGTCCAGGCCCAGGGATAGAAAGTGCTGCACAATCTCCACGTGCCCTGTCCGGACTGCCACATGCAGGGGGGTACTCAGCAGCTGTGTGGGAAGGAAGCAGGAACTGCTGGCTGAAGGGGTCTGGACTGTGGTGCCTCCGGGAGGGAGGCTGTCCTAACTCCAGCCTAATCCCTTCCCCAAGTCCTAGTGCCAAGGCCTGAGCCCCGCAACGACTGGGAATGCTACAATTTCCACCATCCTATCCAATGGTCTACCTCGGAAGCATTAGGTGCCTCGTCCTCTGGGAGGCCTTCTGTGGTTTCCCTCTCACCCACTGTTCACTCCTTTGCCCTTCTTTTAATAATTATAATAGATGCCATTTACTGAGAGGTAACTATGTGACAGGCATGGCAAAAGCTTATAAAACATCAGCCTTATGCTGAAAAAATAATTTACATACATTTCCCCCATCTAATTATATAGGACTTCTGTAAGACATGTGACAGATAAGCCACAGAGGCTCACTAGTTCAAGGTTACACACAAAGGAATGAATGAATAGAAAAATGGTGGACGAATAAACAAGCCAACAGATGAATAAATGAATGGTTGGATGGATGGACAGATAGATAAAGGATGATGGAGGATGGCACGGATGAACAAATCCCACATCTTTTGGGTGATCCCAAAGCCCCCTAAATAGTGGATTTCTTCTCCTCCCCTCTCCTCTGTCCTTTCTGCTCCCATCCCCAGATGCTGGTCCCCAAGGACCTACAGGTGATGGCCAAGACCCCTCCCTGGGCTCTGCAGCCCCTCTAGAAACCAGACCAGCTCACTATCCTCCTGCTTCCTGGGCTTGTCTATTCTCTGCCCCTTGCCCTCCCTCCCCAGCCACCTAATACCTATGAGCATTATTGCCTCACCTTGTCCCTCATGTTGGTGTCTGCTCCTCGGCTTTGCAGGAGCTCTACCACCTCCAAGTGGCCGCCGCGGCAGGCCCAGTGCATGGCTGTGCAGTCCAGCTGGAAGGGAAAGATGGGGCTGTAAGGGAGAAAATGCCCTGGGGGAAAGGACCCCGGCCAAGAGGGCAGGAGGAATCAAAGGAAAGGGGGCAGGGAAGGGGCAGGGGCATGCCTGTGCCTGGGCAATGGACTGAGCAGAGCAGGGGACCCCTCAGGTCCAAGTCAGGTTTACAGAGGATGGCCCCAGGCCATACAACCCACTGGAGGTGGGGCCTGGCCCCAGAGGAAGCCTGTTTGTCTCCCAGCTTGGCACAGGTTTGCACGGAGAGGGAGTCTATTGGTGCTGGGCCCACCTCCTACCTCCCACCCAATAGGTATCTCTTGCTCACCCGATCCTGGAAGTCCACAGTGGCCCCACGGTCTAGAAGCTTCTCCAGGATCTCCATGTGACCTTCCAGGGAAGCTCGATGAAGTGCTGTCCGGTGGAACTGTCCCCAGAGAGACTGTCAGGGCCTGATCTCTCTCAGGCTGAGACCAGGCCTTACCCCATTTCGATTCTGAGCCCTGTGCTGGGTCCCCATAGCTTCCATGTTCTGGCAGCTCCTTCATGTTCTATCCAGACCAGCCTTGGAGCCCTCTTATGCCCTGGGAACTCTGACCTTCTCACTGTCCCCCACCCCCAAGCACATCAAGCTAGGCCTTGACACAGGCTGTTCCCTCTGCCAGCAATGCCCATTTTTGCCCTTACTTTCTGTGAGTGCTTGATCAATTCTTGCTACTCCTTCAAGAGGCAGGGCAGCTCAAGTGCCATTATCTTGAAACCTCTAGGCCAGAGCTGCCCCCAGGGGACCCAGAGAAACAGTGAGAGGGGAATGGAAGGCAGGCCAAGTCTTACTAGACCCTGTTTCCCCTGAGTCCCTAGCCCAGGGCCAGAAGGGGCAGGTGCGCACCCATGACTGATTCAAGGAAGAAATGAAATTTAGCATTTTGCTTTGGTCTCTTGAAACACTCACGCCATGAGGCATATCTTCCCACAGTCAAGATCTGGCTATGTGCCAGTCTCCCTCTACTCTCAACTCTGGTCTTTCCTTTTTTGCACTCCCAGCACCTGGCACAGTGCTCAGAGGTAGGAGGGGTTTGGATAGACCGAGAGGATTGAGACTCCCGAGTCTCATGGAACGGAAGGACCGTGTAGTCTACGCCCACAATGATGCAGGCTGCAGAGGGTGACCATTAAGTTGCTTAATCCCGGGAGATGAAGATGAAAGAGCGCTCTGCCAATGTGAAAGAGGCAGTTTCAGGGAAAACAGGAAAGTATGAAGGGTGCTGGGAACGTTTTGAAAACCATGGTGACGGTTGCACAGCATGGTAAATATAATTAATGCCACTGAACTGTACACTTAGAATGACTAAAGCGGCATATTTCATGTTATATGTATTTTGCCACAATACAATAATAAGTTTTAAAAGGAAGCGTGTTATACAATGCAACACAAAAATATCATATCCTAGCATGTGCTTTATAGTTTTTTCCTTCAGTCCGTAAATACTAGTCGAGGCATTAATATTCCATTTGATCCCCATGACATGCTCTGAGGGAAGGAGGCCATTTTACAGAGGAGGAAACTGAGACACAGAGCTAGCTGAAGGTCGCATGGTTAGGGAGTGATAGAGATGGGATTTGAGCCCCAAATTCTTGGTTTGGGCTCTTTTTTACTTAATTCCATTCCTCTTTTTTCCCTAAAAGACCACATGACATTTGTTACTCTGGAGGTAGTTCAAGTTGCAAAGGGCTTAAGGACTTAGGTAAATTCCTGCATGGGCAAGGTGGCATCCCAAATCTTCTAAGGGCCCCCTTCCCAAAGGACACCCAATGCCTGTTCTCAAACAGGCCCACCAGTGGGCGGAGTGGGGGTGGCAACTCTGAAAGGGAGGCAGGCCCAGGTGCAGGTAGAACATCACCTGATCACAGGTGTCCGGGGAACCCCCATCGGCCAGGAACTTCTCAATGACCTTCATTTTCCCCTCCACGGCCGCTTTCAGGAATGTCTCCTCTTCCACAGGGCCAGTCTGGAAGGCATGAAACCAGTAATGGAAGGCTGCCCTGCAGTGATCAGAGGCCCTCCTGGGCTCCCCATGCCCCCTGCCGACACAGGTGCCTCCCCAAGACCCTTACGATCTCCTCGGGCTCTGGAGGT